GGAGCATTCTAGTGAACCATATAAAGCTGTTCCTAGCTCAGAAAGCTTTTCCATAACCAGCAGGTAATTTATCAATTTAAGAGAATGAAATGAAGGGTGAAGATAAACATTTTGTAGAACAAGAATTGAAAGAATACATCTAGTTAATTTGTTCTCTCCACTAGAATCAAAATGAATCATCTACATCTTTTTCAAGTGTAATTTAATTTGACCTATAACATCATAATGGAATTATTTAAATATTTGAGTGTCTCGTTTGAACTATTTTTTCAGCAATCTTGAGGTAACTTTTTTTTTTTCCTATAGTGACACTGCAGCAAAAGTAATGGTGGAGCTACTGGGAAGTTACACTGAGGACAACGCTTCCCAGGCTAGAGTTGATGCTCACAGGTAATCCTGACCTCCCAGTTTCCTTAAAAGTAGTTTTTTCTCAACTGACAAACTATTTTGATTGCCTGAATGGCCTGGCAGGCAAAGGCCCTGCCCCAGCCTCTGCTCTGTAGCACTGCTGACTCAATCAAGAGTTAACCTGTGCAGTCTGCAGCAGGTGTGGTGGTTTGTGGGCAGAGCCAGGTTGACTGCAGTGTGCAAGTGCACAGGAGCATTTCTGGTCACTGCTGAGAGAGATCAGCCTTGGGTAAGGACTTTGTTTACATCAACTGTGCAATCAAAGTTTGAACTGGTATCCTTTATTTCAGATTTTTTGCTTACTGCATGTTTTATTATCTAAACTTGAGTTTTCTTTTCAAACAGAACTTTCTGTTGGAAAGACATTCTTGCTCTCTTCTCTATGGGCAAGTATGAAGGATGTGAACTGCACAGAAACAAAGTTACTTGTTGGACAAGCTGTACTAAATTGATTCAGAACTGTAATTTCCCCGCTGGCTAAAATGAGTAAAAGCTTGTATTTTGATGTTCTATCAGTCATGATTTTCCTTAGGGATTAGTTTTTTAATAAGTTGTGTAGCTCTGCCAGGTGTGTACAACCAGTAGTTCTCAAGGGAGTTGTTTATCCTTAACCATGGAGGAAAATCAGGATGACTCCTTTTGAAAATTTGAGTGTCTGTGCATAAGTGAGAACTTCACTGGGTCCCCTGCAGTGACCTGGGGCTGTCCCATCTGAAGGGACACGTGTGCCCAGAGCTGGTGTCGTGCTGTGTCCAGGCAGAGCGTGGGTTCTCCTTGGGTCCTCCTGATGTTCCAGGTGTGGAAGGGCTGTGGGCTGGGCCATCAGGAGTGGAGCACCGAGGCCTCTGATGTGCTGCTGACAAAAGCTTTCATCTGGCATCCTAGAAACACACAGGGCTGCTTGTAGGCTGGAGCTGCAACTAATAAATCATAGGCCTTGCACTGTTTGGTGTTGGGGTTTTCTCTGCTTTGTGTCACATATTCAAGTATAATTAATCTTCCTAAACAACTTAATTCTATGAAATTTTTGGAGGACGGTAAAAATGCCTCTAGGAATGAAGGCTGGGCTGGAAATAAATGCATAGATGGAAGCAGTAGGGTGAATCTGTGGTGTTACCACCTGGCACATTTCATTTGTGGGCAAATTACTTAATGCTTTCTGTTCCTTGCTTTTTTCCATCTGTAAAATGAAGATTAAAATTGGAATGCGACATGTCTTACATTTCAGACCAGTTGAAAACCCTTGGGTGTTTCCTAGAAAGCAAGGAACAACAAATTGAATTGCACTTAGTCATAAAAATGTGTATTGCTGTAAAAGTAACCATTTTCCTTTTCTAATTAGATGTATTGTACGAGCATTGAAGGATCCAAATACCTTTCTCTTTGATCATCTTCTTGCCTTAAAACCAGTCAAATTTTTGGAAGGGGAACTCATTCACGATGTAAGTAACTTTGTTTTTAGCAAGACGGTTTTATAACTGTAGAGTGCTTTGTTTTATTAGTGTCTTTCAAAATCCATTGGGATAGTTATATCTTTGTCAGTAATCCTGAGCTGCCATGTGCTATTTCTTTTAATGTCTTCAGAATTGAAAAAAATTGCATGTGAATGTTTCCTTTCAAAGTTTCAGAAACTCATTTACAAGTCCTGCCCTCACATGAGTTCTGTACAAAATCTACCTTTCAAGTCTGAGAAAAGGAACTAAGCTCAGTACAGATTGTCCACAGCTATTGGAGACAGAATTTTAGCTCTAGACAGTTTATTCTTGTGTTCAATTACCAGTAGTTTATATCTGTCCAGGCTGTAGGGAGGGAAACTAAGATAAATATTTAAACTGTTCTTCTATTTGTTTTCCATCTTCTAGCTTTTGACAATTTTTGTAAGTGCTAAACTAGCATCCTATGTCAAGTTTTATCAGAACAACAAAGACTTCATTGACTCCCTTGGTAAGTTTTCAGATCATTACATTTCTGACTATTTATGTGGCTTAAGATATGGAAGTCACAGAGTGCTTCACTTTGAGCCCATCTATTGAAGCCAAGGAAATGTAATAGGAATTTGTAAGAGTGGATTAGAGTTTGTAGCCTGTAATCTCTGCTAGATCATAATTGGACCATCTAACTGTGGTTTGTTCTACTAAACCAAGCTGGTTTATGGGTTTGGAAGAGAACTGTGCTTCTACCCACTGTTTTTTCTCTTAAAGCTTTCAGGAGGGGAGTTTTAGTGCATTCATACTCTGGGCTAGGCTTGAGATCACAACATCATTGAGTAAACCACCAGCTTGTTCTATTTTTTTTTTCATGATGAATAAGTTTATATAACAGCAAATACTTCTGCTGAACAGTGAGCTAAAACATGCAAACTGTGTGTGTGTGTGTGTGTGTCTGCATGTGCTGATGCATTAGACCTGGCAAGCCACAGTCTGTCCCAGTTAATTTGTTTCATCACATGAAGCAATGTGATGGAATGTTAATGTCAGCACCCTCTTTATTTACACACTGTGGAAAAAAGGAGTAGTAATTAACACTTTGACACTCCCCCGTTGATGTGTAATTGACTGTTTCAAAGGAGCACTGGTTCATAAGCTATTGCATGCATTAAAATTACGTTTTTTATATTCCAGCTTTTTAGGACAGGGGTCAGTGACAATGCAGAAATTGCTCAATGATGCAGATTTTTTTATTACTGCATTAAGGTTTTGACATATTGGTAATGAATAAATGTTTCCATAAAAATATGATTTTTTTTTTATAATTTTGATTTTGAAATGACACTTGAGCATTGGCTGAATGCATTTGAGGAAAGGCATAGTTTTGATAAAACAGAGTTTACTGCAGCCTTTTAACACATGCATTATTTTGTTTAATGGAGTGTGATACAATCTTGAGAATAATTACCCTCCAAGGCTTAAAATGTTGGTACTTTGGGGATTAAAATGATGGAAATATCAGTGAGATTTTTGGTGGATAAAATTAGCAGCAAGTTTTTGGTAGCTTGTAAATATGTATATAGGGTTAGTGTACTTTCTGTCACGTGTACTTGAACATTAGTTGTGCAGACATCTTATGCTTCTTCTCTCTCAGGGGAAAGCAGGTTTTATATTGTAATTATTTTTGTGTGTTGAGATGGCTTATCTGTTAGTTATTTGTCAGCAGAAGTATTTGCTGAAAATGCTGTTACACTAACATTTGAATAAATTTATGGAAGATTAACTACAGACATAGGTAGCAATAATTGTATCATACACAATAGTCATGATTTCTTTTGCTTTGCCTCCCTGTTCATGTTTCCCCCTGTGAATTCACGGCGTGTGAACTCTAAATATATCTGCGATTCACAGAATCTTAGTAAAATCCTTAAATATCTGTGGAACTGTTTCGAAAGACGGTCTTGTCTTCCACTTGCCTTGATTTCTTACCTGCTTTATACGGTGTACTCAGAAATTCTGTGTGTCTTTGAGCAGTGGACAGGCAGAGGCTCGGGGGCAGCACAGATGGTGCTGCTGGGAACTGAGCGGTTCAGCCAAGCCTTTGAAAAACAAGGGCAGTTTGGGAGGTACAACAAGGCACTTATTAGACGAGGCATTCAAAAACAGTCTGGTCCCGAATTTTTAACCATGCTTTACAGTATTTTTTTCTTTTTTTTTTACATTACTTGCCAAGATACCAGGCTTTAAAAGGGTATTTAATGATAGGATTTCAGTGGTGTAGTTGTAACCTTTCCTGGATCAGGACCAGTTACAACTGGCCCACAAAAGCCCTGCCAGCAAAGGCTCCTACAGGTGGCATCAGTTTGTTACAATTTGTTGTTTTATTAATGCTGACAACTTGGGCCAGCAGTAGCATTATCTGTGTCAACTGAATCGCCCTAACATGGCCACAGTTAATCTGATATTATCAGCAGTCTTTTTCGGAAAGTTAATCAGCATCTCATTTGCATTTGTTAATTAGGGTTAATGTGTGCTAATTGATTTGTTGATGCTTGTAGAGTTCCATTAAACCCAGTTAGGTATAGTTGCTGGTGCTCCTCGTTCGTATGAATTATGGTGATTTTTGTTGAATCGGTGCCAAACAGGGAACCTGCATCATAATTACAGCTAATTAACACAACATGATGCCCTGCACTAATGTGCTTTCCTGTTAGTGCATGGGTGTTATAAATTCCAAACTTAAATATTTACTGAAGCAATGTGGATGTTTATAAGGTCATTCTGGAACAAAATGAGTGACATTCATTTTAAAGAAACTTCCACAGAGTCCTAGTTGGTACCTCAGGGAACTCAGGATTAAGAAATGCCTTGTTTCATCTCAATGTCTTTTGGCCAACTTAGACTTTTTAACAAGAAAATGGTCTCTGATTTAGATGTGCAAGCCCTTGGCTCAATTCCTTGTGTTGCCATTCATGGAACATCATGTAAAAGATGTACCCTGACTTCAGTATCTGTTCTGCTGGTTTTGGAGAGCACTTTCCTTTGCCACAGTGGATGCTGTAAGCACATATGGGGCTCGTGATATTTGCTTTGCTGTGGTACAGACAGTTAATTCAGTACCAAAACACATTCTTCTGGCACCACAATGTTATGTTCCTAAACCATTACTGTGAGAGGTTTATTTTCCAGAAACTACGTGAGAGTGAGTGGTGAGGCTGAAGGAAGGGTTTGACATTACCAGCCACGTACTCTCCATTTGTTGTTGCATTGTTGTTCTTCCAGGTGATGCAACTGAAAAATTCACTTGCATGCTCACCACCTAAAATTCTCTTAAGGTGATGTTTTTACTGCTCAAAAAACCCCCTATGTGCTTCACTTTTGTAGATAATACTTTTTTACTGAAAATGACCAAGTCTTGATGAATTCACAACTAAAACAGCTATTTTAGAAAAAGACAGGAAAACGCAGGATTTGATATTTTACCTCAAAAACCCTGTTGATAAGGAAAGGTGGAATACTGATTGATATGAAATAAATTATGGGAAGCTTTATAGTAAAAATAGCATGGAAAGCAAATTATTGGTATGAACTATAATTAATTAAACCATCAACACTTTTACTCAGGCTTGTTGCACGAACACAATATGGCAAAAATGAGGCTACTTACTTTCATGGGGATGGCTGTAGAGAATAAAGAAATCTCTTTTGACACAATGCAACAGGAACTTCAGATCGGAGCTGACGATGTCGAAGCGTTCGTTATCGACGGTAAGAACTGCAGTACCACCCTTTCCACACTGCTCATGCACAACACCTCTTATAGTCTCCTAAGCTAATGTGAAATATTCAGAAAAAATATTAATTTTTCTGTCCTTTTTACATGATAGAGCTGCACAGCTTCGTGCTTAAAGACATGCCTAACTGCTGGGTCTTAAACAGTGTTTTTCTTCTCGGTGACGGGAACCGCATCTCATGTGATTCTTTACAGAACTAATAAATTGTTTGCAGGTTTAATTTCTCATCTGGTTTTGTTTGCTGTCATTAAAACAGGATGTGTTTGTAGGGGAGAGAAGTTCATAAAAACTGTACAGGATATTGCTTTAATAGACTGGCACACAACAATAGGATTCGTGCATGACCTTCATCTTGTTACATCATTTTGCTTTTCTGCCCTACTAGGCTGTTAAAACCAACAGTAAAACATATTAAGGGAACTGCCCTGTTCTTATGTTTGTATTGATCTAATTTTGAACAGTTTTTTATGACGTTTAATACCTTTGCACTATCGTGAAAACGTTTCTCAAAACAGCACTGGTTTTTTGCAGCTGTAAAGACAAAGATGGTGTACTGCAAAATAGATCAGACACAGAGGAAAGTAGTTGTCAGGTAAGACTTAATTCTTCACAGCATTTTGCAGAACTTAGTGTGTTCTAATTATTTCACCTTACATTTGTAGAATATTTTAACTAGGAGCCAGGTATTGTTCCTATCAATTGCTGGTAGTTAAATAGTTGCTATTTATCATAATTTTATTAAAGCTCACACTGAATGTGATTAGCTTATTTAATGAAAGAGTCCTACTTTCCAGCACATTTCATTTAATGACCTAATAGTGACAAGAATACTAATGACTGTTGTTGCTTTAAATATTTGGGAAGGCTACAGAATTCTCTGAACTGGTAAAGGGAAGCCTTTTCTGTAGAGAAAATAAAAATTTTCCCATTTGCTTGTGAGAGTGAAGTAATGCTGTAAAAGAATTATGAGGTGAGTGTGACATCTTGTAATCATCTTCCAATTTTGTTTTACTTCTCTAGTCACAGCACACATCGGACTTTTGGAAAGCAGCAGTGGCAGCAATTGTATGACACTCTAAACACCTGGAAACAAAATTTGAATCAAGTGAAAAACAGTCTCCTCAGTCTCTCAGACACCTAAGAATTTTTTTTGACCTAGTAATATCAGTACAGAGGAATTTTATTCAAAACTTTGACAATTTGTGAAATGTTTCTAAAAAATGTATGCAATTGGTTTAAACAAGTTAAATATTTTAAATTGCAACACAAAAAGAAAAAGGCAATAAAACTACCATGGGAAAATATCTTCTGTTGATTTTCTTACATAATTAGCAGCAACAAACTTGCAATATCGGTTCTTTTGTTCATGTTTAGGTTTACAGTATGAGGATCTTTCTTTGCAAGAGCTGTGGGAAGGAAGGGAGGGAGGTCCAAAAAATGGTAGTGCAAGTAATTGTAAAGTAAGAGAAAATTTCCTTTCCAAGGGGGAGAAACCCACTACAGTGACCCAGTTAGAAGTGAAGCTTTATGAAGCCAGATCTGCTGCCTTATCTCTGTAATCATACCTGGTGCTTCAGTGTTGAAAGAAACCTTATTGATACAGAATCTGCTAGGACAGATATGTTTAAATAATTTGGCAGTAAAGGTAAGCAGAAGAGTTTTCTGTTCTTCTGCCACTCAGAACTGCTGGAAATAGTTGTAAGTGTAGAAACCATTGTATTCTGAAACAGTTGAATGTGATCTTGCTTGAAAACTGAGCAGTCTGGCAGAGAAAATGAATTGAACTATTTCAGCCAAAACTTCTGCTCAACAGGAAAAGGGTACAGTTAAGCAGTCGTTTAATTTTACTTAACATATATTAAAACATGAACTTAGGAACTTTTTAACTTTGGGCAAAGCCAATAGTAACTTGAATTTGATTGCAGAAACAGAACTAACATAATTAGTAGGAACTGTATCCATTTTTGAACAAAAGAAATGTTTATATGCGGTATTAAACGTGAAAGTACACATATATACCATATTCTATAGGAATACCTCTACAAATGTGGTTTTGGTAAGTGATCTGGCTATGCCTAAAAGACATGCTTATCTCCTGCCACTCATTTTCACTGGCCTTCTTCATATTTTCTTTTTCTTGCTGAATGAAGTATCTCCAGATTCAGGAATTTCTCAGTCTCTATTTGGTTTTGTATAATGGAGTTCTGAAGAGCAGAGCTGTCCTTATCTCTGGGTGCTTTTTCACTTCTTGCTGGAGTTACAGTCACGGGAGAAGACTTCTGCTTCTGCTGTAAAGCAGTAAATCCTTCTTTCACCTGACAGAATACAAAAGTAGCAGTTGATAATCCAGTGAAATTCAGGTGCAAAGTGTTTAGATCACTGAATTTTGTTAAGCACTAAGCAAGCAAGGAAACGTGAACAGGACAATAAAATCAGTTGGGGAAAAAAAATTAATTTGAAGTGTTTGCTTCACATTTAATTTAGAAAACTTGATAATGACAAATACACTTTTATGAACCAAATCTTAATGTAAGACTTAGTACAGGAGTATGATCTAAAAAAGGACAACCTTGCATTAGAATGCAGATTAGCAAAATAAATAGCTTAATTAAAGAGTTTAATGTTGCAATTGACATTTCTATGGCTATGCAAGCATTTGATTAACAAAACCCAAAACCATGAGGTTTATAGTGTTAACTCCCTCTCTGCTTCGCTGTATAGATTAGAAAGCAAAAATCATTAATGCAAGGTCTGTAATAGGTTGGCTTTTTATGTTAAAGATCTTTTTGTTCTTTTAATAGTTTTAATTACTGTTTGATAGATACTTCATATCTATGCAAATCAAAGACAGATGGCGACACAGTAGGGAAACAAGTTTTTTGCTTGATGAGCAAAAAAACTTGCGTTTGAGCGATGAGTTCTCCACTTGCAGTCTGAGACCCTCTGGCTCTCGTGGAGGCCAACACAGCACCAGCCACCTGCTTTATTTTAGCACATGAATTTTATGCTAAAACCTTCCTTCCCTCGGTGCACAAGCATTTCTGAAAGTTTGAAATGTGAACAACAGAATTCGTGCAAATCGTTGGCTTGGCCTGTTGCATTTGTAACAGCGTTACTGCCTTGCAGCTGAAGGTACTGATACTTCAGGTCAATAATGACTGTCCATAATGACTCCATTTCCATGAGGAAGCAACTTCTTCATTGGAGCACTAGAATTTTCCTAAGGCCTCAGCAAGAAATAAATCATATTTCATTGCAAGCCACTAGTCAAAATCTCTATGGAATACCACGTGGGGCTGAACCTGGTCTGATAATCCAAGGTCATTTTGGTCTTCCACATGTGGAAGTGAAATTTTCTAGTAATATACAGCCATGCCACGTTACTTGGATTTTACTGAAGACAAGTGTTTGAGCCTCTTTGGACAAGTAATTGCAGTTAGGTCACACACACACATATAATATATATATATATATATAATTTTAATATAGTTCTGTGACAGTGGGTTTAGAATAAAAACATAATCTCAGCTGTCAAAACTAAAAGGCCTCAGCATTTTCATAATAAAATACAAATAAAATGTGTCTTAGTGCCAGCACTAATATGGCAACATATGGGACACGTGTAAAAGCCATTCATTGCTGAACAGTGATTGCACGTTGAGGGATTTGTGTTTAAACTGAGCTGAGGATGCTTATTCTTATCTTGGTATTTAGGCAAGGACAGACCAATGTTTAAAACAGTTCTTAATATTTTTACTAGAATTTTGAGTGCACCTGTAGCATTTGTTTATAGCTTTTATCCCTTTTCAGAGTACTGTGCTGTGGTTGAAGGCTTAAGTCTGCTCTAATTACAATCATACATATTAGTCAAAACAAACTGCTCAGCCCATTTTTAATCTCCCAACAGCTTTTTCATCTCTGTCACGAAAATGATGGATTTGAGGACAGAAGGTACTAGAATGACACCAACAGAGAAGGGAGGGAGTGGCCTGCAATACCCCAGGCTGAGATTTCATAGATTAAGTATTTGGAAAATACTCTGTTCTTGTCCATCTCCACTTTTACTTAGCTACTGGATAAGGAGCTTTAGTTTGGAGGTGACAAAGCAGACATAACCACAATCAGATAGTGAAATACAGCTTTGCTTCAGCTGTAGGTTATGTAGTGTAGTTCACTCAGTAAAATAAAAGAGACACAGTAAATACCACCACCATGGTGAAAAATCCACCCCAGTGTCATTCACAAATAGAGTCAGACTAGGAAAGGTGAGTAATTTAAAACAGTCTTCCAAATTTTAGAGAATGTGAACGTTGATGGCATTGAGCTGACTGAGTCTTCAGAAGTCAGGCAATGTTGTCACTGAAAACACTGTACACCCTGACCTCAGCCCTCAGCCAGAGACAGCCTTAACTACCTGAGAAATAGCTCTAGAACCTCTTCTAAAAAGAAAGGTCAACTGCAGCTGTAAATAATTGTATCACTTTGGAATAATATGTTTAGCATTAGGTCAAATTCTCATACAGCAGTTACAGCTGTTCAAGCTCCAGTCTAACACAGATCTGAAAATGCCCTTGCTAGTGCTATCCTGGATGAAGTTGTCTTACAGGGCTTCTATTTAATTTTCTGCTTTTACACATTTGTGTAATGTCATCCCACTAAATAGTAAGAAGTAACTAAATAGGACATCCCAGAACTGCAGCATAAGATAAACAGATAGGCTCTAATTCATAGATGTGCTGAATTTTTGTTCTTTTACATGTTCTTTTAAATAACACAGTCTTATCAAGTAATAAATGAAACAATGTTTTTATACTTTTGCATTATACTATTTTTTTTTTTTAGCCCCTACTTTTACTGTAGGTGATGATTTTTATTAGGGTCCACAATGAACTACCCTCTTCCTCCCCTCCCAAACAGACTGGTTACCATCTGTTTGATTCATATGCTGTGACTTTTTCCTGCTGCTTTCTATCAACCTTAATTGTGAAAAATGGTGTCTTGTTGCCCTTCTGATATTATTTTGGAGATTGACTCAGCCTTAAAGTATCCAGATGGGTACAGTTGTACAAATATCTGTGGAATTAGCTCACTGAGGTCTGGTCTGCAATATTTTTAATTGACTTACATGTTCTGTGGGAAAAGAGGAATCATAAAAAGTCTTTGCTATAGCATTCCATTCTTCACTAGGGTCTCCCTGGGGGTCTTGCTGGATATTAGAGGTATTCAAAGTGTTGGTAGCTCTGTTAGAACTGGTAGAACCTGATTGACAAAAAGGAAATGGTAACAACTGCAATTTAGTCTCCAGGCACTAATTGTAAAGTAACTAAACTGGTTTACCTCTGATCTTAAAATATCAAATATTTTTGGTTTAAATCACTGGATCTCTGTTGTAGGCTTTTCTCCTTCATTTTTTTTTCTTTCACATACTTCTCCATCTCTTTTTTTCTCTAAAGATGTGTTATGTTTCTACTTTGATTAAAAATGTTTCCTGTCATTTTCACATATTAAGCTAATGACAAAATAGTGATTTATAGAAAATGTGTGTATTCTAAATATTCTAAGTGAATACATTTTTTTCAAACACTTATATTAAACTCACCTTCTGATAATTATAGTAAAATACACAAGTACTGCCATCCTTACATGATATTCCAGGGCGACTTGTAATAAAAAAAGACATTCTTAATACAAAGCTTTTTAGACAATCAAAAAACATTTTAAAAATTAAGGAGGTTTTTTTGTTAGTGCCTGCATCTAATATTTCAAGAGGTCAGGCTATAGCCATCTACCAAAGGTAGGAAGGACAGATAAGTAGATTAATCATGGCAAAGTATAACTGCACAGTCCTGCAGAGGTTTTATGCACTGTAACAGACTCTGTTGAAAGCAATATCAAGTTCCTTGCAGGATGAAAACATGAGCATACTTTCACAATTCCAGTGCAAACAGGAGCTGTTTTGTCACTACACAGATGCCTGTGATCACTGCATCAATAGTAAAAATCTTTGTTTTGCTATGAAAATACGTGTTACTTTGTGGGTATGTAATAGTTCTTGAAGAATACTGTCATTTTATCTCGGCAGGAAGATGGTTATGGGTTTGTTTTCTTCTTCAAGCACTCTCCAGGAAGATCTATCCCATTCCCAGTTCATTCCTCCGTTTACTGATGTGGAGTGGCTGCTCTCTGGGAACCAGAGTGGTATAAACAGCAAACTGCACTGTGGTTAGGCAGTAAAAGGAATTCCCTCAGATTGGTTTACTCAGCTCACTCACCAATGCTCTTCACCTCTAGATCTCCCATATGGAAAAATTTAAAAAAATATAGGGATCCACATGGATTCTACTCCAGGTTTGCCTTTTGGGAAAAGATCTGGAAACAAAACAATATAAAACCCAACCACAATAAATGTTGGGAGCTGCAGTGACTCATAGGTGCCCTGACAGGGAGGTTCTCCAGCCTCCAAAAGAGGTGCAGGATTTGGAGAGGTGAGCAGGCTCAAGTAGGGGCCTATCTAAATTAAGCAGAATGAGGCACACCTGGGATGCAGACCAAGATCCTCGCTAGAATCCAAGAAGTGTGGTCACTAGGCAGCTCATTTGGGAATAAGAGTTAGATTAAAATCCCTACAAACTCCTTAGGATAAACTTTGAGTCACGAGTAACTTCTTGGAATTCCAGTGTTTTGCATACAGAAAGGTTTCTGACAAGGAAAGGAGGAGGAACACATGGAAGAACTTCAGACAGTGCTGTCTGTTCTTCCAGAAAAGATCCATGCAGAACAGCACATAACTGTATTCTTTCATTTGATTGAAAGAATAATAACAATCAAAATTCACATTACTACAAGAATTAATGTACCATGTGAGATTGGGGTCCTGCTGCCTTGCTACCACCACTATTGTTTTAGGGACAAAGATACTTCTGAAACTGAGCTTCAAAAAATGGTGCATCTGAACACAAATATGCGTAGGCAGGACACAAGTACACAAACAACTTTGCCTGCAAAGCTAAATTCATAACACCAGAACAATGTAAAGAAACCAAACTGCTGGTTTTCTGTCTCATTGCCACTGGCTGCAAAAGTAAGGGATGGGAGTCCATCCTTCTCTTGGTTTGTTCAAGGGGCAAAGCTGAAAACACTACACCAACAAAACCTCAAGTAGACACAAACACCCTGTACTGTGGATCCTGCTCTTCTGAAAAACATCTAAGCACTCAAGGCTTCAGTTTTGTATAAAATCAGGGGCTTTCTGTTCAAGAGCCCAAAAGACCTGCCTTTTTAAGCTTACAGCAGGCATTAAGAATAGAATCTGCATGCAAGCTCTGTTGTGAGAAAGGAAGGCACCACTTGTACTGTCTTTTGCTCTGTCCAGTTACTGAAGTAGAGCAAATGCATTGGAGTCAGATTACTGTGGAAATAAAAATGATGCTTTTGTTACTTTGCTCAAAGATTGAGTTTAGAAATGGCTCTTTTGGTAAATAAACCTAGGGGTAATCTAGAAGTTAATGTTATTGCAAAACAAACCTAGAATACAGTTTTTCCACATTTCAGTAATAATTTAGAAACACGTGGAATAAAGCTCATATTTACTGTTTTTCATATGCAAAATATTGCTCAACAAATAATAGCCAAGTGCCAACTGTAGGAGATAAAAAAACTCTTTGAGCACTCCTGAAGCTCGGTGTGTTTTCCAGAGCTTGAAAGAATATAAAGTCTTTTCACATGTTCAGTACACTGATGGTTTGAAGTGCCCATCTGAATTAGAGATGTACAATAAAATAAAAAGTAAACCACCTCTAAACCCCATTCAAAGAAGCATCTACTGGTTCAAAAGCTACCCTAAATTTTGATGCAAAATGAGAGCACTGAATAAATTCCAAAAGCTGCTCAGTGTTTTTTAGATCCATGCAGAGAACTGATAGAAAATGCTCTATATTAGGGTTAGAAATCTCTGTCAAAATTCAGTTTGTCATTGCACTGATGTTCTTTTAGAAAGGGAAATATGAGAAAAAATTATTTAATCAACTAATTAAACTAACAAAAGCTGGTTAGTTGCATTCATACTATAAACAGAGAAATAGCACCTTTCAATTTTTTTGCAATATAACTAAAATGTCAGGTTTACATTTTTCTACACTAAGATACAGAAATTTCACATTTTCGTAATTTTTCTAAGCTTATTCAGTATATGGTTCAAAGCATAAATGCTTATTGTTTTCTCACCTTGTCCTGTTTCTCCTGTGTCCACATTTTCACTGAGATTTTGACACTGTGTTTTTGAAATAACCTTTGTGTTTTCCACCAAGCATGGTAGTTTCAAAAGGGAAGGTTCCTTGGAGGCTGAAGTCCATGTAGCTTGACCTCTCATTTGATTTACTCTTGAACAAGAACCGAGGTCTAAAAAATTGAAGTATAGTGGAGTTTTCTCAGCTTTTTTATCTGAGGTTGAAAGATCAAAGGATGACCTTCCACTTATGTTTACTAAATTTCCAGATGTTCTCATGGGTAAAGAGCATGCTTCTTTCAGGTGACCCTCAGCAAACTTCCTTCCTGGAACTGTACTGTTCAGCAAGTCTTTTTTCTCTTTTAACAATGTGTTATTTGTTGAATTATTAATCTCCAGGGAATGTCCACTTTTGATGGAGTGTATCTGAGTATCATCATTAATTTTTTTGCATGGAATTAGTTTATCTCTACCAGCTCTATCTGTTGGGGGTTTTTTATGAGCAATTTCAAGACCATCAGCCTTTACTGGAGGTGTGGTTTCAGCATTGGACGTGCTTGTATTTGTAGCATTCCCTGTTTGCTTAGTAGTGTCTGGTTCGGGCTGCTTGCTGGGCACGTCCCCTGCATTTATTCCTCGTTCAGTTTTGGGGGGGCATAAATTGAAAGTAGCTAAGACAGACATATTGTCACTGTGTTCTTTCACAGCATCATCACCACTTGCATTATCACCATACACAGTTGGTAGATTCTGAGCATCAGTTGCTGGAACTCCACTGCTCCCCAGTGCACCATTTGTGTTTATGTTTCTGGCATCATTTCTGTCTTCAGCATCTGCATGTATCTGTTTAAGAGGAAGTTTATGGAAACCACTCCAATTTAAGTTTTTTTCTGTTCTGTGTAATCTGTTGCCCACATAATTGTCACTGGTCAGCAAGCTACATTTTTGGTATTCTGTCTGAGAACTTTCTTTAGTGTAAGGCAGGATGCCAAAACTTAACTCCTTGGCTTGATGGTCACCTGTACTTCTCTCACACAGAGAGTTCTTCTCAGTGCAAAGAACCACTTCAGGCTCAGGACCGAAAGCTTCAGGTGTAAGGACACTTTTGCTGTGTTGTATGGTGTCTGATTTTGTGTCTGCCTTAGCAGAAGCTGATTCAGCTGTAGCATTGCACAGTTCTTGCTTGCTGGAGCTGGTCTCCTGATTCCCATTTTTCTTGTCAGCACCTACAGGCTCAGTACTGTCTAAAAAGGCCTTTCTTTGCGTGTGGCCTCCTGCCAATGGCTCAGTGCTGGCCTGTGGCTTTTGTTCTAAATTTGTGTTGTTTTCATCCAGTAACATTCTCTGTGTTGCTCCTGGATTTTCTGCCTCTTTGCTCCCAGTGACATGCATTTCCGAGCTCTGTCCTTGGGTAATTAAATCAGTATCTGTGCAGAGGGTATTCCTGGGAGAAGCCTCCCTTTGCTTTTCTTCACAAGCACTAGCAACATTAATTTCATCCTTAGAACTGTTTTCAAGAACTTGTAAATCTGTAGGGTTGGTAAATGATAACCCAGAGGTTATATAATGCTTTGTTTTTATAGTTTATAATTTCCAAAGAGATGGACTCAAGATTAATATTGATACTGATTTTTCTTATCTTATATTACACATACAAGCCTAACAAAAAGTTACTGAAGATAACTATTGCACTATGGTAGCTTGAAAAATATTTATAAACTGATAAAACAGAAAATATATTAACGTTCTGTATATTTTAGATATGGCTTATAGTTGAAATAGTTCTCAACTGATATCTGTCAGCCTTATTATTGAAAGGGGTCTTCATAATGAAATTATAACATTATTTCATAATAATGTGAGGCTATGTAAAGTTTAGGCCACTCATTACTACTGCAACTGTATTTGTCTTTATTTTTGAAAGTGGCATTTTTAACTAAATGGAAAACAAAGCCAAAATAGCTGTTTAAGGGACACACCAAAAGCAACATGCTGGGACTTGATAGTAGTGGGCCATTTCAATACCAGAAGGGTGTTTTCCAAAAGATGCATTGAAGGCTGTGAGCATTGATCTTTTAAACCAGTCACTTTGCAGTTAATAAGTTTTTAAACTTCTGCTTATCTTTGCTACATTTTAGAGACTGAGCATTAGAGACTAAGTGCATTTCCTTTAGGTGGCTTCAAAAAACTACTTACTGGAGTTACAAAGTGCTTTGTACAGATTGTGATAGGTATTGTTATATTATCCACATGAACAGACCTTCCCTGCCCTAGGCAGCACAACCACTCTCAGCCTTTTTCATTGTCTTATGGGAAAGGGAAGGTCGTTGGTTTTGCTTTCAAACATTTCTATACAGGTTACAGTTCTTCCCAAGCCCTGTTCCCTTCTGAACAAAGCACACAGAACATTGCAGCAGCTTCAGGGGTTAGAGCACACTGACCCTTCTCAATGTCCCAGGGCAGCCACTGGAAGTCCTGGTGAATTTATCATAGATGAGCACTACTCACACCAAGAATTTTCCTGTTGTTAGGACAAAATCACTTAACTCAGGATTTGATCATTCTCATCATGCACTGTACCTGCAAACATTTATCCTTCCTTCAACAATACTACTTATCTCTGCTATCCATGTAAGGTTATTACTTTGTTCTGTCTGTAATTCCTCAGCGTTTGAAGAGTGGTCTCTTGTGGGTTTTACTTCAGTTTCTTCTTCATGTCCACAATTACCATATTTTCTTATTACAGATTGTATGAACTCATTTTCTTTCTGAATAGCCTGTATTTCACTGTCTTTTGATTGTTCTTGACCACTCTAGCATAAGAAGGAACAAATGATTAGACGTATTTTAATAATTTACTCCACTCACTGATTAGATCTAAAGTTCAGGACTTTGACTTAAAATTAATTTTACAATTCTGCTGGAAAACAAAGACCACTCACCTGAAGTATAAAAAGTTAACGTTAATAAGAGGGAATAAAAAAGCAGACTAATACCCTAGAAGAGTAGGAAAGAAATTGGGTCCTGCTATTACAGTCCACAAAGTTACAAAGACTGACAGAATTTCTCAGTGGAAGGAATTTGTGTTGTACACGTGCTGACTGGATCACTCCCTCTCTCTGATGGCCAAATCAGTGACCTGCTCAGTAATTCCATGCAGGAAAAGCCTGCAGGATTGCTGTTGACACCCAACACATGTGCATACACACACCTATTAACACCATTTTTTTTAACAAACCACCTAGGACTTTTAACTTAATTTCACAAGCAAATAAGGCTCATGAATTTGTAATCCCTGTAATGCAGTTCCTCATTCCCTCCCAGGTGGCTTTTTAACCCAAATTTGAGTCAAATTCAACAGGAGTAGAAGCCTGAAGGATGTGTCTACATCACTGTCTAAATCACTGATCCACTACTGCACCTGTATTTGTGTATTTTTGAAAGCTACAGTCAATAAAGCTCTGTGAAAACTAGGAGCTGAATAGTGAAGAAACAACTTAATAAAACCCCACCAAAATAAAAGGAAAAGGAGATGCATCTTTTATCATCAACTGTTCAGCAGCTGAAGACAGGAGCACGTGCTGGCTCCTGCTCTAAAGACAGGATGTAAAAGTAGGCACATCTAGGAGGGAGCTTAGTCATAAAAGATGTGAGAAAAAGCTGAGGATACTCGGGTGAGTGGAGGTGTTGCAGAAGGAAGGCTGGGATGTGGGAGGGGGTTACAAGTTCTGTGCTTGGGCACTGGATGTGTGGGGAGGACAGAGTGTATTGCAAAATGGAGGGAGGCACGTGGACAGCACTGGTAAAAATGCTGTCCACTACTGCAGTGGTGGCAGAGTAGGTGATGCAGAACACAAATCTGCAAGAAACAGCTTTATAGAGGTCACAGAAACATCCTGATCCTTCAAACTGAAGTTTCAGTTGAAATTTCTTCCTNCAGAAGAATAAATAGGTCTTCCATAGCGTTTAAAGAAAACAGAGAGATCATACATATTAGAAGATTCAGACTCCTCTTTTTCTCATCTTTTTATTATCAGCTTCCCTGTCATTCTGATTTGGAAATTGTATGCACTACATCTTTTTATTTTCTAAGTTTTTCTTCTTTGCTCTGTATAGCCTTGGCACCACATTTTCAAGCTTTCTGAACACACATACTAGAAATTTCCTTTTTATTTCAGGAAAGCTGTAACTCTTTTATAATCTTTTGCTTCTAGGAGCTGTTTCCTTAGACAGAAACACCAAACACCACAGTATAACTCTTTTATACAGTTATAAAACAGCTACTGCGGTGGAACTTACCATGTTTGTTGGCACGGGCTGAACTGCTGAATGCATCTGAAATAAACAGGATAAAGAAAGGCAGAAAGGTTACGATTCCTTTCCAGATTTTCAGATGGGTTGAATAAACCTACTTTTCAATAACTTCAAATGACTGTTCAGCCCTTCAAAAACAGGTCCAAGATGCATAAACTAAAATACCTAAATATCAAAACTATTAAACCTGGATTTTAACTTTTTGCCTGTGATTTAGTAAAATCTAAATAAGTAACATACATATACCTAAGATGACCTTTCCCTCAACAGATTATTTCATACTAGGAAATTCAAAAGCTGCTCAAAAACAGATCCTTATCTACATATACACACAAAAGAATTACAGCAACCCATTAGTAGGTGTAGCCCTGTTCTCTGTTGGTGCACAGCTGTATTACAAATCATATTAAATTAAATGTTAAGCACGGTAAGGTTAAACTAAATTGCAGTCCAAGTCTGTAATGAGGTCTGATACTGTATCTTTCTTTTAAGAAGGCCCTTTGCTTAATTACTATTCCAGAGGTGATCGATATGAAGAAGATTACGTACATTCTAAGTTTCATGCCCCACAAATAATTGCAGGGATTTCAGATTGCACTAGGTGTAAAAATAAATATATGCATATTTCCTTACTACACTTGGAACCACAGTCAAGATCTAAATTGCAGCCAACCCCTTTCCCTTTTATGTTTCACTACACACTGACTCATTACTGATACAAGGTGGAATTCCACAAATCAGTACAATCAATATGATCTGCTGCAGCTCCTGTAGTTTCTTGGCAGTGTCCCCCTGGAGATTTGACTCAGTCCAGCCTGCCTAGCTTTGGAAATCTAGTGACTGTACAAAACAAAGTGGTGTGGCAGTTTGCCATAAGGTAGTGTAAGATGTATATTTAGAAGACATCTCAGACTTTTTTTCCATTTATGAGCATAGCTTTAAGCTTTTCTGCTTTCAAACCCACAGTGTTTATCATGAACGACTCATTGCATTGATTCTGCATCCTAAACAGAACTGATATTTTGTTTTCATTCAAGGAATCAATGATTTTTAAAAGTTACACCTTTTGCATTATACCACATAAGAGTTCATACAGCTTTGGCACAATGAGTAAGTCTAACTTCCCTTGCACTATTAAGCACAAAGCAGCAGATATCCTTCTGTGTGTGCTTGAGTATGAGCTATAAACATACATTGTGAAGAAATTTATTTTAAGTTCTTCCAAATTCTAAAATATTTTTGCAGTTTGTAGTTTTATTAACAATTAATAGACTAATTCTAAAAAAAAATAATCTGTCTTTTCAGTCCTAGTGTCTTCCTATTTTCCTCAATACTGAAAGCAAAATCGTATACATGAAAAATGAGTTTTCTCTTCTTTGAAGGGTAAGTCATTATTTGGATGTAAAAGTTAATGAAAAAAAGGATATAACCAATACTCAACAGAACTACAGAATACACTCATTGCACAGGGAAAGTTTCTTATGGCTTCTGACTCTTCCCATTTTTTTCAATTTTATAAAAGGCTGGAATACAAATTTGCAATCCAGTTTAATCATGGGATAACACAGAGCTGCAGGGCTCTTCCTTTAGTCCCAAAAGACCATCTTCATGTGCTTAACCACTTGCTGACTTCTCATATGTGCTCTGAATCCAGAGGTGAACATGGACTTGGTTCACCCAGCAATGCAAGCTCAATTCTAGTTGAACCTGCACCACATAAAACAGTCTGTCACCTCCTATATTCATCACCTGTTCAGTTTGCTGTGCCTTTTAAAGGCTCTAAGTGACATAAAGGTTGGAGTTGTTAAACTAAAACTAGAACTTCTATAACCTGTATATTGATTAAAAAGAATCTTCTGATTTGAGAAACATGCATGCAAAATATGTCTGTGAAATAGGATTTAGTGAAGACGGGTTGTTTAAGATAACTGCTAACTGTTATCAGGTTTTTATGATATATCTCAGGTTTTTATGATATAAGCACCCCTCTGGATGAAAGGGGAACATTCTCTGGGTACAGTAAATTTTAATAGTATTTTGGATCATTGATAAATATCACAGATAAATTTTTAGGTTTACCAATGTCAAAGGAAGATCAGTGGACATGACAGACAAGATCAGAAAAACTGTCATATCTCTTATTCTCTAAAATTTTTAGAAGACATGGATGGTACTGCAGCTGGTAGAGACACTTACCTGCAGATTTTCCACTTGCTCAGAATGCTGATTTCCCTGAGGAGGATGATAATCTTCAGGATGTCCATGAAGTCCTTTAAGGCAATTCAGCTCATTTTTAATAGTATCTATTTCTCTTCTCATGTTTTCCTCCTGTAATAATTGAGAGTACACAGAGCACACAAACTGCATGTGCAGATATGTAAACCAGCATTTTACAAGGGTATCGACAGCTCAGAAAATTAAAGTAAATCCTTAAAAGAAAAGTATAGATGCTGAGGAATTTCTTTGTACAGAGTAACTGAGCTCTTTAATTCAAACCAAATTTTTAAGCACGTTTCCATTGCAGATTATACCTTTTATTAATCGGGTTTGGGTTTTTTCCCCACCACTTATTGCAAGTAGCAACACTCAAAATAAGTGAGATTTGTATTTGTAGCTTTCTTCCTTTTTTGGTTCAAAGATAAACATGATTCTCTACCTACACTGTCAGGAAACTACAACAGCAAATAATTTGCCTGGCACTTTACTTCTGTAAATAGCCTCAAGTATCCAATGCTTCTTCAGTGAATATGTAACAATTAAATTTTTGTATTTAGAACAAGCAGGATGGTCCAAACCACAAGTTGTAAGAAGGGCAATTTTATAGAAATACCTTCAGTTCATTTACAAAGATCTCCAAAGCAGTGTATAATGTTAACTTTACCAGTCATTCTGCTATACTTTAAGAGACCAAATTTCTAGTTAGTCATAGCAGAAACATGAAAAGAAAAAAAAAAATCTTCTTAAGAATAGTTGCAAACATTCCTGAGAAATAAGCAGGGCAGATCCAATGTCTATACATGAAACTATGGTATAAAACTCTCCAAGGAATCAGGGACATCAAATTCTCTCAGGGAACTGAGCATCAGAACAGTTTAGTTATTTTGCAGCCTCATGGTTGCAGTCATCTCCATAGTGGCTGCACTCAAATGAGTTAGCCCCAGACAACAGGATTACAAGGACAACTTTGCATTATTTCCCCACAGCTTCCCTGGAAATCCATCTACCAAAATCAAAACCTTTCTGGCAGAAGGTGCCAAATACACAGAAATAAAAAAGACAGACTATTAAACAAATGCTGCTTAGAGTCTGGTTTCCACACACTAAGCAGATCTTGTCCTACTGAAGAGGTATCAATCTTTCCTACTTGTAAACATGCATTTATTATTGCAGACAATTTTTACAGCTACGGTGTTTTGCTAATTGTTTTGGATTAAATAATTACAGAAGTACTCTTTAGAAGTAATGAAGTTGTAGAAAGAATGTCAAATTGAAGACAAATTATTGTTTAGGTGTAGACAGAAGTGAATTCACTGAGAGGACATACAAGACATACACCTTTTCTTATCCCCTTTCACCCTCAGTCCACACTGAAGAATTCCTGTCAAATCAGAACTGCAGGAAGAGCACTGACCTTTTAGAGCACAGAAGTCAACCTAAATCTACTTTTAAAAAATACTCATCTCTAAAAGAATCTGTGTTACTGGAAAAGAAATTGGTTTTATTGTATTATTTCTGCAATATTTTCTTGGCTTTTAGGAATTACCTGAAATGCTTGATGACTATTTCAAAAACCTTTTAATACTCTAACATTTAATTTAATAAACCTACATCTTTTTTCCAAGTTCTTAGTGCTTTCTCATGCTCATTCTGGAGATTAAGGAACTTTTCTTCATTTTCCTTTGCCTTCTCCCTTTGCAGCTCATTATCTCTTTCAAGGGCCTGCAATAAAATTAATTATCCAAAAAATAATCAATACCACATTAATGAATTTTGATGTGTTTTATGTTGCTTGGACCTTTGCTTCTAACATGCTGGAAGTGCCATACAGATCAGTGATAATGTGCTATCTCAACAATAATTTTCATAAATTAACAGAAAGGTGCTTATAGTTTAGCTAGCAGGAAACAGGGGGAGGTTATGAAAAAAGAAATGGCTATAAAAGGGTATAAAAACACTTGCCATTATTCAGTTTCACTGCATAAGTTTTAATGTTCTGAAAAAGTAATATAAAGTCCAGAGATGAGATATATGAAATGTAGCATATCTAGACCTGCTGTACTTAAAGAAAAAAACTACTGTATACTGAAAGAAAAAAACTATTTTTCTGAACAGTTTTTCTGCCCTAAATTCTTTATTAGCCTCTCTTATAAACTGTATAGTCTTTATATTCTAAAACATATCTACTGGAACATGAAGTATACATCTGATTATCCTTTAATTTATTTTTATTAGATCACTGACATAGGAGTGCACTGAAATAACACCAATACTAAGTTTTATACAATCATAACTGTACTTGCAACATTTTGGGGTTAACTCTTTCAGCTTTACCGTGATAAATCAGAGCAAGCTCGTGTAAACCACCAGTGTCTTCACACGCATTTCAGGTACTCTTGGAATTTTTATCCTATCACATTTTTCTAGCAAACAATATGGAAGATAAAAGACTCACTGCATCCATGACCTACTATATACTGGATAATGTAAACACAACTTTAATGCATGCAGCTATATGGCCAGCTACATATTTATGACTCTGCTGAGCTTCTTTGAAAGTCCACTTGAAAAATGTTACGTTGCAGAGGCAAGACTCCAAAGCAATTCGTTTTTACTAAATCTTTTACCTAAAAATGAGTCTACTTGATTCACTTAGCATCAATTTTAAAATGCCTGCGTTAATTTAACTACACTATTAATAAAAATATGTCTTACAGATATTAACACTGGGAAAATTCAAACTACCTTGCACTTTTGTACACTTGGCAGAAGTTCTGTGTAAGAACATAATGGACCTTCTTTGATAGATTATACAATTAAAAAGATGAGACAATTCAACAATACATAGTCTGAATAATCACACTGATGTAGCATCTTTCATCCTGTTGTATAAACAAGGAATCCAAGACCTCCTCTCTTGGATAAACCCTGCTCTTAACTCCAAGGATGCTTTTACTTGCATCTCAAATGCAACCTCCTCAAAGATGGAATATTATAGTTATTCACAACACAGCTCTTAGGGCAAAATACCTGAACTGATCATATGTTAAAGCCACTTGTGCAGAGAGGGGGGGATACCTGAATTCCTGGCATTCTCAAGTATTCTGTCATCTGGTAAAGAACTGTAACTTGTTTTTCTGAAGTCATAATGGCATTGGCATCCTAGCACTAGGTATGCATAGGCAGAATGAGAAAGGATCCTTTGGAATATGACCTTGCAAGTGTTCTGTCATCTTAAGCCTAAAAATAAATGGTCATTTCTTGTGAGTATAAGAATAAAAATATTTCCACGGGACTGTACAATCTCTCTTCGGTTTTGGGTTATTCTGAAGAAATTTTTTTGCTTGATGAGCAAGGCCCACAAATTTGACAGGGAAGTGGAACAGAGCACAAGAATAGTACATAAGCTTTAGATCTCATTTATCATATTGAGGCTCTAGACTCAATACAGATGAAATCAATAGTTCCCAAATTGGAATGAAAGTGCATAGAAGTTCGAGTTATATATTCAGCTCCCTATTTTTTAAGTTCCATTTGATGTTTTAAAAAAGTGACAATGCAAAATAAGATGCTAACTTTGTCTCATTCCCTGGAATATCCTGGTAATTGTATCAAACTGTCAGCCAAACAAGTAGCTATAAAAAAAGCAACAATATTTTATGACCACTGTTTTAACTGAAAGACAGCCACTTCTGATAAATCAAAACAATCCCATGAGTTCATCTGGAAGGAACAAGAACCTGTGACATTCACTTTTAATACCACACTGGATTTACATCATGCTGTTTAAAGGAATCACTGCATTTTATGCATGTATTTATAATGTTTACAAAAAAATAGATCTATTAAAACATCTAGCCACTTTTATGTCTCCAGATGTGTTCTCATGAAAGCTTATCACTCATATGTGCTTTTATAAATGTTATGAATCCTTTAATTCCCATTCTCAAGTGAGAGCATCTTGGTTTTGAGAATGCACAGAATCATCTCACAAAACTCAACTGGGATCAAATCTTGGCTGAACTTAAGTGACACAGTGGAGCCTAAGGAGGAATATTTACATCAAACTAACCATCAAACCAAGAGCCTCTAATTAGTTATGCATGTCTTGTAACACCAATTTCATCTAAAGTACTTATGCCTGCAAGAAATTACCTTTGAAGGCTGCACTGAAGCTTTGGTGATTAGCAATGGTTTGTGCTGTAGTTGGAACAGCAGGAAACAGTAATAACTCCCCAATCTAAAATAAACAGACTCAAACCAAAGCAGGGTCTCTAATCAGAATTAGTATAATCACAATCAGATATCAATTTTTGGCCTGAACAGGCTGCACAACAGAGACTTGCACTCAATTCATACCTTAACAAGAAGAAAACAAGCTATACTTGTAGACATTTATGTGCAGTCTTCAAAGGGAAGATTCACAGATACCATTTACAGTTTTAGCTGGAGCTTTAAGGCACACTATAAACTTTATCTGAGATGGGAAACAATAGCTCAGAAATACTATCAGAAAAAAGCACTTTTAGAATACACCTGCTATTCAGTAATGCTGACACAAAGATTCTAAAGGGCTCCCATAGTATGTAAGTCATCATCAGTAAGGTTATATACCAATTAAATTATCTTGAGCTGCTGGTTTAATTTACAAAGTAATTTCAATGATCTTAAAAAAATAAAAAGCACATTACCTTCTTACTCTAACAGAAAACAGTATTGTATGAACAGCAAGGAATCCAGCTGTTTCACTGGACCCAACATATAAATAAGAGAAGATACAGAAAATCCTGCTGCTTTAGGCAATTCTACAGCCAAGGGACTGTTCAATTAATCTTTTAACTCCTAGAGAAATTTTAGCTAGTTTCTGATGGAAAACATAGCCCACCTTTAACCTTACTTGTTTAATCAAGATGCAAAAGTGCTATATTTGTGGCATAAGGCAAAATACTTACAACTATTAAAAATCAAAGTAAGACTTATGGGAAGTTAATCTTATTTAAAATTAGCATAGAAGCATTTACTTAGAAACAAAAGTATACGTGCACACTGGAAGTTTAATTTGAAATTATCTATCTTAGTTCAAAACCTTGGCCTCACAGGCCAAAGAATGGAATAGTTGTGGTCATGCATGGACAAATACTAGATAATAATTATTAACAGACCAATTAATGGTTGTACCTGAACTCTGTATGGCACATCTGGTAGGAACAGATATGACCTTCATCTTTAGTGCACCGTGGGCCCATCTGCTGTTGAAATGTAGAATCCAAACTGTTCTGAGCTACTTTTATGTGCAGAAAGAGGAACTAAGGAGTGCTGGAACTCCACACTCTCCATGTGACCACTTACCACCTCTAGAATAAATATGACACCAGACAGCACAGCAAGAAAGGGCCAAGGATACGCTCTTTCTTAGGCCCTCTGCTCTAATAAAACTGAGGGCAAGCACTAGCTATGACTGAAAATCTGAAATTTGAAGTGTTTTCCAGAAATTTATACCAATACGCAAATTACAAGGAAAAAAAAAGTCATAAAATTATTTGATTTCAAAATACTTGAAAGCAAGCCCAAAGATGTTTTGGGTTTACCCTCCAGAAATGGCTGCTAAGAATGGCAACCATGATTTACTTTTGGGAGAGAAGTAAAAGAGGGAAACCACAGCCTGTGCTTCAAGGTTCACGCTGACAGTTTAAGGAGCTGAGGGAGCAATGGAAGTGAGGTCAAAAGTTCTGAAAAGCACACTGATGTCTTTAACAGCCCTGAACTTAAAAATTACAGAAAAGATAGTAGCAGCTTGTCTAATCAAGAAAAATCTGACCTGATATTCCTCTTTCAGAGCATTTAATTCACTTTCCATTCTGGCATTCGTTTGGGTTATTCGCTGAAGGAGCTCCTGCACACACTGGAGAGAGCTGAGAATTTCCTTGTTAATACAAACAGAAGAGGGTACATTAAGATTTTTGTTTCTACAGTTTAAACATTAATGTGTGTCTTTTAGATTATTTTTTGTTTCTGTCAGTGTTTACAAAATCAGGTCTATAAAAAAAATACTCCAAAATCAGCATTGGGGAAGAGTTTGTAGGGAGAAATCAGAACAATGCCCAGTTTTTCTGGCTTTTTGCCTTGGAGAAGACAACATTATTATGACTTACTATAACTTACTCTTTTTCAGAGAATTTTCTTATAATTAAAATGAAATCCACTAATACTTTAAACACACTTCAGTGCAAATCTAAATAAAATATATCAAATCCAACCCCACTGTAGGTTCAATTCAGGACAGAGTAATCTTATGTTACCATATCAAAGTTGTGAAAAATATGGAAAACCCCAAAGATATTACTCCACTAATGGATTACCCTTATGTGACATTATTCTGTATCTCCTGATGTAAACCCTAATAGATGTGAACTGTCACATATTAGCCTTGCATCATATGGTGCAAGTATATCAGATTTTGCTGTCACTAGGTGAACTTTTGTGGTACCTTTATCAAGGAGGTATATTGTTACTTCATGAAGAGTGAATTCTAAAAAAAGAGCCACCTATAATGAGTTGATTGAAGTGCCATGCATTTACAAACCCATGGGTGCTGCTGTTAAGTTTGTTGCAGTTAGTTGAAAACTGAGAGGGGGAGTCATTTTGTATCAAACACTACAGAACACATTCCCAGAGTTTCAAAGACAAGAGTGAATGATCCAGACAAGGCAACCTCTACTCCCTAAAGAACAGTTACAGCAGTTGCTAAAAGAAGACCTGCACAGGAAAAAACACTGAGTTTCAGACAGAAGCCAGTCTTGAATGTGCTCAGCGGCTTCAAAATACATTGAGAGCAACATATTATTAAAACAAACACTTTCACATACTTGCCAAGTGCTTTCAAATTACTCTATTTTTGGTTCTATTGGATACAAAGAAACAGCTGACTACTAAAAAAAGAAAAATCATTATTTTGAGTGTGCTCATTGTTTTTCATGCATGTATACTCTTATGCAGAAATAGATATTTTTGCACTGAGCCTCACTTAATTTTTGCTTTAATTTTACATCTAGAAAACTGAACTGCAGAGCTGTGGAGTGTCATCTGACAGGTCAGTGGCAGAGCCATGATTTTTAAATCTAGTACAGTGTTCACCCAACAGATTGTTTCTCTGTACACAGTTCAGTGCAAATCAGCTACAATTTAGACAGCATTTCCAGCCTCAGCCCAAGAACCACTGAAGCCAACGTTTCAGCTGATCCAGATAGTGAATTATTAGTGCTCCATAACACAGAAATCCATGTCTTCTAACCCAAGCTCTTGGAGAAAACACAAAGTGTATCTCTACACTAGAGCCCTCCCCAGACTCATACCAAACTCCTCCATATGTTAAAACTAACCTACCAAACCAACCCCAGCAGTTCACACCGAACAAAACAGAGACACAAAGCAGAGTCCTTCTCTCAGATAACACATATCAAATATGCATGTGAATTATGCTACATGCATCTCCACAGAAATGCTTTTAGTGCATTCAGGGCTGTGAGAGTAATGAGGCCTGAATTTGTCTCTCTTTTTTTTTTTCCCTGTGTTTATTGGCAAGTGTTTTTTAAAAAAAACAGGTTTTTACAGACTGGAGGAGTGCTGCTGGATGAGCCTCCAGTGTGTACCTCTGTGGGTACACAAGCAAGCTACTGCTTTTGTCCTTCCCTGAGAACAAGAATGAGACACTTCCCTGACATGTTCCCTGTAGACTGAAAACTCTACAGCTGCTGAAGAAAAAAAAACAACCACCCTTTTTAGGCTTAATATTCTGCAAAGCAGTGTATTATGCTGTTATCGCAGGGAATAAAGGTTTTTTTGCTATGTTTGATACTTGACTCCATATACCTTGGTTTGAATACCAGCATTTGCTCTGGAACATACCTGAGTTAGCAACAGAAGAGAATCTTAACTCTGTTCAGGCAAGTGTAGATGGCATTTTACAGTCAAAAGGTTTATGTTCTGTATGAATGGAACATCATTTCCTTTGCATACAATTGACAAATTATTCCAATTTTACCTGGTTTCAACACCAATTTCAACCATTATTATAATAAATAATAAGGTAAATAATGAACTGTTGGCCACCAGAAAGCAGAATAACAAGTGTGTTATGCCAGCCTTTCTGCTTATCTGTACTGAGCTGTTTCATGGGAATACCAAGTTTCTCCCATCTGAATTCAAAACCAAAAATTTAAGACTTGAAATGAAATAAAGTGACAAACAAATAGACTTTGTTCTGGTAATACTCTTTCTAAAATCTGAGCAGTAAAATCCCACTAATGCTAGTATTAAAATATTCCTGAAGAGTAAACAAGTGAATTTAACTAATTTTTGTAGCTTAGTATAATCATTTAAGAAACTTAAACATGAAATATAGCACTCAGAGTTCTTATTTAAAGTAGCAAAGCTGTATTAACTCACCAGCTTTTCTTCTTTAATGTGAGTGTTTTCTTCTTGAATTTTTTTACTAACTGCAGTCTCCTTAAAAAAAAAAAAAGGACCATGAAGAACAGTAAAAGGCATCTAAAATTAGTGCCAATTTTCCTTAGTAATATTGTATTAATGTGAAATAGTGAATCATCATGAGGCTATTTAAAGAAATTGAATTATATTGAAATGTCTTCTTACCCATTTTTTTTAACTATGAAATGATACTGATATTCATAGAATATTTAATTCCCTAGAAAAGGCTGTGCTGGAAATAGTTTCGTTGTATTGTATCTGGAGTTAATAGAAAGGAGTCACTGATCTGTACATCAGAGATAACTTCCAGAAAATAATCACCAAAAATTTAACTTGTTTAAATTCCAAAATACCATTCTGATTTTTTGCTGCAGTTCTTGAAACTGTTTTTCCTTCGCTGCAAGATTGATGTTTTCTTCTCCCACCCTGTACTGAGATGTGACCTTGGACCTTATCAAGTCTGTAGTTACTTTCTTCAGTTCCTTAACACAGGAAACACGTATAAATAGTTCATCCAGTATAGGCATTGCAATTCAAAACACAGACAAATCTTTTAAACTATCCCGAGTTCAGGCTCTACTTTTAAATAATGCGTGGAAACAACAGAACAAGTTAGAGGTACCGAAATTTGTAAGACTGACTCGCTAAACTTTAAACTTATCACAGGTGACTAAAAGTTTATTTTCAGAGGTAAAATGTTATTGTGCTGATTTTACTCTGTTTGAAGTATTCACTTCGTCATTTTGTTATTTTCTCTTCCAAGAAGTATATCAGAGGTGGACATTGAGCTGGTATTGGTAAAACCTCCTACACTGAGATATATAATAGGAATAAAGTACTATTATAACTACTGTGTATGTTCCTGGGAATGAGGAGGGGAAAAGGAAGAACAGTGATTATCTGGTAAAAACAGGAACTGGCTATAAATTTGAAGGATCTTTGCTTTTCCTGTAACATTAATTACTTACTCTCAGGAGAATGCTAAATTAATTTTATATTAGAAGCTTCTATAACATGATGCCTTTGATTTTATAGTCTTTGTGCTCTTTTCAATATCCTTTTTTTTTTGGTTTTGGTATCTGTTTCGTAACCAGTTTATTCCATGCTCCTAGTGCAGCAAATAAACAGCAAATGCTTTGATCTCATTAAATTACAACTTATAGTTCCTGGAGCCATAAATATTGTGCCCTGTTCTCCCCCACCCCTCCCATTCTGGTACAAGGTAGTCTGTTTAATATCTCTCTCTCCTTGAGTGCTCTGACGTTTACTCAGACAAACAGCAGAGGTTATGAATGCTGCTCACAGATAGTATCAAGAATTCTTCATGATGCCATAGTGGTGAACCAAGCATTCAGAATGGCAATAGTTTTATCTAACAACCAAAGTTTGGTCTGTTTAACTTTTCTTCACAAAACTGGAATTCCAGTTATCACAGACAGAATTATCACACACCAATGGTTTTGACTGTTCTGGACAAAATCAGAGAACAGCACAAAAGAAGAAGGAAAGATTATGTTGTAGCTGAAATTCACAAAGTTTTATGGAAAATATAAGTATAGGTACTACTTTTAAAAAAAAATCAATTCTTTTTCTTTTTTTTTTTTTTTTTGCTAGAGGCTTTATTTTTCATGTATTTTAGCCATAAATAAATCTAAAATTATCTAGTGAGTACTAAGTGCAATTGCAGAATCAATTACAAAACCCAAAGACAGCAACGCTTTAAAATCACGATATTCTGTAAGCTAGTAAGGCTTTTTCCCATTTTTACAATAAAAACATGCATTAGTAGCACTGTTTTTACTAGAAGGCTCTGTAAAGAAATGTGCAAGGAGAGTTGCTGCAGTTAAGTGGCAGAAGGTGGGAGCAGTTTTAACTTTGTACAAGTGAAAATGTGCCCTGTGCCAATCTGCACAGAGAACTGGAATAAAGGGATAGAGAGCACACCTGACAGGCTGTGGCCACACAAGCAGGTGCAAAAGCCTGCCATGGATATGGTACCATGTATTTTCCAAAACGCAGGCTTTACAGTGTGGAGAAAAAAAAAAAATCTTACTACTTATTTTGTCATGGGGAAAGAACAAGTCACACGAAGTAAATGGTGCCCTTGAGGTAGCAAATATGCCTGGATTTTCTTCTTTGTAATTAGCAGGTGGATGTGCACAATCCATCTGGAACCGAACCCAGATTTGCTAATACAAAGCTGTAGGCAGGAAAAGCCAAAACTGACAAACAACCAAGACTCAACACAAACTCCCAAAAAACCAACACAAATGAGACCACCAAAAACAATGGCAGAGTTTTCCATAGTGAGTTAAATCACAAGCTGTGTAGCTGTAAAAATAAAATAATTTTATACGTACATACTTACATATATTTTCTTAAAATTTCACCCTCAGAGCTTCTGCTTTATTCTAGTAGATTTCTCTTATTATTAAAGTTACTAGCAGTGTTCAAAAACATATAAATTAAATTGACCATGGAACATATTTTATCAGTTTTCGAGGTGTGCCAAGAAAGAATGACAAGGCTTTAAGCCCATTCCTTTGATGTGTTCCCAGAAGCACACGCTGAGGGACGTGGCTTCAAAAACACTTCATGCCAGCCTAAGTCAAGAGTGTCACAAAAACCCTGTCTGCACCTTGAACCTGTTTTCCTATTGCATGTTGATCTAAGCTAAAACTTCCACCTTTTTCTTTTTTTTTGTCAAATGTAGTTTTGATCAATATGAAATTTTAATTCTACACTACCTCAAGGCTCATAAATCCATTTTCCAACTGAAAAGGACTGGAAAAGCAGCCAGGGCAGGCAGATGTAACCACTTCCCAAGACTACACTGACACCTTATGCAAACTTTAACTGTCCTAAAATTATAACTACATCTTTTTGCTCTCTTCCTAGATTGGTGCTGCTCTTTTGTCATCTTTTGGGTCTTAAGCAGCATTAGTTGGTTTTACTAAACAGCAGAATGAAAGAAACCTTTCTCTTGGCCAGATTTCAATGCAAGCGTTTTCACAGTGGTTGAAAAGAATCCTACCACACTGAATATCAAAATGTTCAAATCCAAAAGCAACTGCTACCTAAAAGGAAATTTTGCCACATTAAAATTTAGGAACTGGAATTGAAGCTGGCAATGCCAAGAGACAACTACAACCTCTCCAAATAACATTTCCTTCCTGACATCCCAGAAGACTAAACCTGTGCAGAGTAGACTGCAGCTTAACCCAAGTTTACTGTTGTACATATTTAACACCACCCAGAACATACATGCAGTTTCATTATATTGGAGATCAGGGGCTTTTTATCCATAAATGTTGAATTGCATTCACTAACTTCATGTTCCCATTAAGAACAAACCTGTGAGATCATCCTGGTCTGAGTCAAAGTAATGGCTGTGATAAGAGCTGACAACCAAATTAAGATTTTAGTACTATGGACAGTCATTCCTGCTCCAGCACTGAAGCTACAGAGGAAAGAAGTTTGAAGCCATAAGTTGTCAGAGCTGTTAGAGTTCAGTCAAGTCTCCAAGGCAGATAAAAACAGCTTTAGAAGTTGTCCAAACTTGTGCTGTAGATATCAGGACTTCTTTCAGCTCTGTAGCAAGTGAAAATAGTCTGCTAATCCCTTTTCCAAACTCTTCTAAACAGTCCAGTTCAGATTGTTCAGAACAGGATAATCAAACACTAAAAAAACAATAAGAAAATTCAGAAATAACAGAAATAAAGGCATTTCCTGGTGAACTGAAGCAGCCAGATTAAGTTTCAGTTGGCCCCTTCTTCTGCTTATCTAACAGTATTTTATTTAAAATTCATCACCCATGACCTTAAGAATCAAGAGTACAGTTGAAAAAAGAGTGGATCAAGCAATATGTTTAATTGTTGGAGTACATAAATCACTATCAAGTTTCTCACACCTATGTTACTCACAAATTTCACTACGTAAAATTTCCTTAAACATTTCTATTTTCTTATCTCTCAAATGACTTCCCCTCAGAGAATGCTAAGTAATTCATTAGTCTTGGTTTCTTACCAAAAGCAACAAATCCAATTTACTGTGATGCTTAAATATTTCTAAAATGCCTACATTTTTTTAAATACAATATATTTCAATACAGATATGCTGCATTTTAGATGACTGTCCCTCCTTTTGTCACGTACAAATTATTTACCCTTCTTTAAAGGAATTGCACAGTTGAAGTGTACCCAATGCAAACAAAGTTGTGCCATTGACACCTTCTGATATTTTTCTGTTGCTCTTCTACCCATCAAATATTTCATATAAATATATATAGCTTTTATATATAACCTATCGTTTGAATTATGTAGCTAAATAAACGTTTTTAAATTCCACAAAGCCTAATTGTGATTTAGACATTAATCTGAGAATTTTTCCAGTGTTTTGCTTTACTATTATTGTGTTTCTCAGTCTGCTTTTATGATGGTAAGAGTTATGAAATTTTGAGATCCAACTATCACTTCAAAACTTGATCTTTTTGATACTGAGATCTGGCATGTTATATTCTAGTATGTAACTAAGCAAATCTAGATTGAGTCCCTCACTAATTTTTAATGTAGCTATGTAATAAATATAAGAATTAAGTAAAGCACTAGAGAAGGTAGGAATGAAACAAATGAAAAAAATCTCAAACTGTTTATATTTCAAGATAAAAGTTAAAATTTAAGTCAGGCTTTTAATGGCATCAAACTCCAAAGAATCTTAACAACAAGAGGCTGCATGCTCTTAAGAACAAAAACCAGCACTAGACTCAGGGAGACTGTTCAAATACTTCTGTAACTTCAAACCCCATTTTTCAGGGAAAGACAGGTAGTGGCAGGTAAGCATCCATTTTGGATCAATATAGATATAAACATAAATATAAAATGTATATAGTCCCTGTTCCTCATGTACAAATTACCTTCTTCCCCTGACCCTTTTTGTTTTCCAAAAGAATCACAATCTTTACAAATATTCCATGGTAGCTCAAAGCATTCATCTGGAAACTGGGAATTAACATGAGGCCAAGAAGCCAAGACAATCATGTTCCCTATCTAAAATCATTAGAGAATCTAAGGGAGAAAAAAAAAATTAAAAGAAGAGGGAAATAGAAAGATAAGGAGATATAAAAAAGACGTGTTGGGGTAAGATACTGAGTGTACAGAATAAGTCTGACCTAAGAGGATCCTTTGGTTCTTCTCCTGTCAGCCCTTAAGAAACAGCTCAAAAGGAAAAGAGAACTTTATCCTTCCCACTGTCACATATGTTCAACGGTGTAACTCAAAAATGTACCTGACAAATAGTACCTTCTGAAGAGATGCAGAGAGAAAAGAGCTCAGTGGCCAGACAACTTCTTCGTAAATAAAATGATTATAATCCAATGTCTCAGCTGCCTGTCACAAAACTCTCCCACTTCTGTCAGAGATTCACTTACACAGTTTATCATCTCTGACTAGACTGGAAACACCTTTCCACATCAGATGGGAGAAGCAATGACAACACAGCACAGGAAGAAGAGAGGTCATTAATAATTAGCAAGAAACAAGCAGGATGCTGTAGAGGTAAATAAAAATTCCCAAGTAACAGAAATTATTCAGAGCTGCTCCAGTTTTAACTGAAGTATCTGTGGAAGCACGAGACTAATTTAGCCATGCCACAGAGTGAAAAACTGTTCTGCTGCTTGTCCACTACTCCCATTAATACTGCAGAGGCTTTTGGAAGTCCCAGAGAATCCTGTTCCTACTTTCAGGAATGCATCCCATACTTACTTCCTTCAGATTACTTATTTCAGTCTCTTGTCTTTTGTTCACTGCTGTCAGTTTCTTATTGTGCTGTATGGCTTCCTGCACTTCAGACAAAAGTGAATAAAGTGTTAATAAAGACTTCTATCAATATTTGATTTATAACTGCAACGTACGCATACATAATTCATAAAATAACTAAACATCTTCGTGGAAAGGAGACTAAAACTGAAAATATGATTCATTGATTTTTTCTGTGTAGTGTGATACAATACTGGAGGATTACACCAGATGGTACCAGTTGTTCTGTACCTCAAACAATGAGAGAAGACTCTTCTCTATGTTGGTTTGCCTTTTTTGTTTTTAATTGTAATTTAATTTTTAGTGTAACTTGGTGACATTTTTTTAGGATCGCTTGTCCGTGAACTTTGAATCCTAGTTTTGTTTTTTAACTAAGGCTTTGCTCATAATTTTCAGAGGAACATAGAACACAATGGACCATAATGGACAGAACATACAAATAATTGAGTTAACAGATGTACAGAGTTATATGCATGTAGGCCATGGGAGATAGCAAACACCAGGGGATAATGCAGCAGAAAACTCTAAGAGTAACCTCTGTCTCTTCTGAAAGGGAAGGGAATTTTCTCTCAGACTTTATACAAGTCAAGATATCACTGGGAAATTGCTTGAAATTCCACAATGAAAAACTGAAGATATTCACTGGCCTCTGGACTTTTTCAGTCACCTCTATTCAATCTTAGTATTTTCATTCTCTGAGGTGTCTCTTTAGCATTTTCTATTTTCTGATTCCTCTTCATTCACTCCTAATCTTTTTTCTTCTGGTACCACACTTGAATACAGGAGCTCTGCACACTCCATCACCCCCAGAAAGTCCTTCCCTTTTCTGCTAAAGATGCTCCATCATGGGGGAAGATGGACATCAGCCTTACAACACAAGAAGCAATTTTGCAGTTTTGTGTGAGAATATGTGCTTAAAACATTAAAATACTGAAGAATGTAACAGTTATCTTCTGATACAGCTTAGGAAAAGCCCATGCACATACAAGCAAGCAAAAATTGGTAAAACTCTCTCCTATCCTTCAACAAGAGTCATGTGCTCACTCTCTTGCTTTAAAGTACTAATAGTGGGACATTAGTTAGCCAATAAAGTTCTGGATTTATTACCAATTCTGGTATTTTCCCTCCACAGCACTATAACACATCGATTTCCACTTCCTTGTGTCCCTACATATTGCTTTAATAGTGCAGATAAAGAACAAGCAGTTGATAAATTTAAACCATTTGCACAAAATTGTTCCTACCCTTTCCTGCCTGACCTTCCCACTGAGAGCAGTCCCTTGCTCAGAATTTACAGGTCACCTCCACGCCTATTGCACATCTCACACACTGCCATGCAAACTGAATTCTCTGCAGTAAAGACACACTAGAGTCAAGCTGGTGAAGATATTGGCTCCTTGAACAGAAGCAGTTAGGAACCCACTCCATCTTTTCTAGAGGTTCACTTTGCAATTATTGATAAATATAAGTAGAAACACAGCAAAAATAAAAAGGTTTTTTATCATTCAAATGTAATAAGTACTGAGAGTAATTGTTATTTTTCCAAGAAATTGCAAAAAGACTTTTATATTTGATATAACAGTAAACCCCTGCTCAATGTAAATAAAAGCAAAACACAGCAATATTTGATCTTTATATGTTTTTAGTATTAAAAATTAACCTCATAAAAAACTGAATACAAAAAGTAACTGGAGGTACTGAAATATCACAAATATACACAGAATATGTCACCAGTTTATTCAAACTAGATCTGAAAATAAAATTTTTAGTTTCAGGCAGAAACTAAAAATTTAGTAAGATTCAGTATTTGAAAAGTTTTTTGGTGTTCTAGATTTTTTTTGTTTGTTTGATTGATTGGGTTTGTTGTTTTTGTTGGTGGTTGGTTTTGTTTTCAGTGATACAACTACTTCTTTTCCTTAATAACACTTATTTTTGTTTATGTCCTGTGTATGTGTTTACATGGATGCGAACTCCAGGCACACGAAACAATACAAAAGTCTATATTCTAAACATACACTGTGATGTTTGCATGGAAATTTATCACTTTGCTATGAGAAACAAGGGTGTCTCTCAAATTAACACGTACAAAACTTCATTTCAATGAGGTATTTTTATCACCTGGTTATCCGAGTAATTATTTGACAGATAAAAATTAAATATTTATAGAAAATAAAAGTGTGTGGAATAGTATTTTTGCCTGTTGTTAGCTTCACAAATAATTTTGTTATGTGTCAGCACATGAATGGGGATGTGGTAGAGATTTATAAAGCTTGAATAGACATATAGCAAGAATCTACATAACAATGTTAACTGCATAAAATTATTCATAACACCCTATTTATTTATTGAACTGGGTTAAGATTTTATATTTCTGTACAAGAAAATAATTTTTATTATTTCATTAATGGTTTTCATCCATTTTCCAACATTAAATCTACATTTAAAAAGCATTCATTTTCCCCTATTTGCTAATTCCTTTACTTTCACCCCCTCATTTTCACTGGTACACCTGCTTTAAGCTGATTATGCTGAATGGCAACAGGGAGTTGGTTCAAATTAAGCTGCTTTTCTGAGTGTTTTTTGATTGGGTTTATTCTGGGGTTGGTTTTTTTTTTTTGGAAAGGGATGGATCTACTGCTGGATTGTTCTGATCACAAATCAGTTCCTCAGTACAGTTCCCTGTGTGGTCCCACACACAGCTGTAGTGGTGCATCAGCAAAGAGCAGCACTTGGCCCAGGGCAGCCGCTATTTTTTTTGAGTTGTCAGGTGTCTCCAACTCAGTGCTGTCAAAACACAGAAAAATCAAATTCAGGAGGACATTTAAGACATACATACCACTGTGCTCTAGTTTTCCATGGACCCCCTTTATGATTCCAAACTGAGATGCAATAGTAGCATAACACCTCTCGACTTCGTTCAGCTTCTTATGATGCTCCTCTTTCGCTGTCAAGTGCATCTGTAATTTCTGATCCTGTCAGGGACATAAATGAAGCACACATTTACTGACAGTAAGTAGCTCTCCAAACGCTTTTGAGTGGAACAGCACAAATGCAAAATCATTCCCGGAATATCTCACTTGTTTATTTCATACCTAGTCATCAGTTCCCATTTTCAGACAGCAGGAAGACCTTCACCTGTGTGTTACATTACCAAAAATGCACTTTTACATATTTTCCTATGTCATCCCTTATATTTAGAAGAACCTTCATGTAAATGCCTGCAGAACTGTACAAACTGCTTTCAAATCCTGATCTCAAGTTTTCCCCACAACCCACTGTCTCAGCAACTTCACAGAGGAGCCCAGGGTACAAACTAGTAAGTGGCTGGAGACAGGTAAGAAAACAAGCTCCTTGAACTTTGGCATCAGTGCCAGTGTACTCAGTGTGAAAATAAGGCCTATGGACATTTACTGTCTCCCCTTACACAACAGAAGCAAGCCATTCTTCAAAGCCACATTTGCAAAGCCATTAGTAAAAGCACTGTCTTCCTTTTATGCTCTGAAATGCTTTCCGGCATAATCAACAATGACAACTTTTTAGGCTATATTGCAATAAACACTCAAACAGGCTTTTTACCAACAACAGCACTGTTCAAATTACGGGGTGCTTTGTAATATGGTATTTGTAAATATGGTAGTCAAGGGCTTTGAGCACCTGACACCTGAGGAGAGGCTGAGGGAGGGATCTGGTGAATGTGTATGTAGGGGAGGGGTGTGGGTGTGTGTGTGTGTGTGCAAGGAATGAAGAAATCACAGCCACACTCCTTTCAGTGGCGCTCATTGACACAAAGTGAAAGACAGGAAATTGCACTTAAACTTGAGGGGAAAAACATGTATTGTAAGGGTGGTCAGACACTGGGGCAGGTTGCAGAGGCAGCCTCTGTCTGTGGACATACTGACACCCAACTGGACAAGGCCCTGTGCCACCAGCTCCAGCTGACCCTGCTTTGAGCCACCTCCAGAGACACCTGAGAGCCTCACCCTTTCCAGTTCTGGGACTGCCAAAAATGACACAGCCCAAGAACAATCAGGAGACAGTTTGTGTACTTGACGCACCTAAATCAAAGAATTTCAACACTTTTGCTAAAAATTAGAAGTGCATCAAGCAATTCTATAGTAGTGGTGACTTTGATTTAGATTAGTGAAACTAATGCAGATTAATAACCCATCCTTCCTACGAAAATATAAGTAACATTTTAATGAGTAATTATTAATTCCTCAGTGTCAATTAGCAGTTCTAGTATCTTGAAATATGATTAATTCGCTTCTACTTTAAGATTATGTATCTGTAGGGAAGTTTCTAACTACTTTCATAAATATCTAACACTTTATTTTTACTTCTATTGACATGTTGGCCTAAGCAATATTTTACCACAATGAAACCCACATGGTAATTCATTAAAATGTATTTACTGACTTTTACCAATCTCTCATTTTGTGAGGGGCAATTGAAAATACATATTGACAGCAAACTACTCAGTGCCACATGCCACTGATTTTTTTTAAAGCTATTTTTTTATCCTTTCTTTCACATGTACTAAATTTTTCGTGTTCTTCTTTGTATTGTTTTTTCGTTAATGGCTTTGTAGGTACTATTTGGTCAGTTTTATAATTAATTTTTTCTGAGGAGAATGGGTTAAATTAATTCCTCAGAAAGGATAGCCATTTATTTAGATATCTAATCCATTTCTAATCTACATTAAAGCAACACAGCAATTAAAATGACTTGGGCCAAATTCATCCCTGTGTGTAAATTCAGGTTACACAAGGATGCATCTGGCCCAGTCTGGTTGGGTTATGCAAGGCTCCATTTCCACACAGTAACAAATGCAATACATGTCCAAGCATCAGAGGATAATAAAAGCTCAGAGTAATCAAAAGAAATGACCACCATAAGGCCAGCAAAACAGGATATACAATACAAATTTCTCATGTTTTATAAGGTATGAAATTAAACACACTACAGCAAATGGAAAGTCATAATGGAAGCACTGGTAAAGAAACACCACCACTTACAGAATCACTGCAAGGAATGTAGGTTGAGAATGTTCATATACTTTCTCTTTTCCCTAATCAGAAGTTAACTGTTGAAGAACTGTGCTTAACTAATGCCAGGAGGGGGATTTTATAACAGAAAAATTAAAAGGAAAAATTTTCTTTGTTTTTCCTGATAGTCCCTCAGGTGTATTTATTCTAACAGACTGAGGAACAGGAGGCATCACTGATTTGAGACTTGTGGCAAGATCTGAGGGGGTTTGCACTTTTTTAATATGGATTTCTTCTTAGTGTTATCCCAATTGATTTCTTAAGTCAGCAAGACAGTGTTAATGCTCCCTCCTCCTCTCCCAAAAAGTAGAAATATGCTTTGCTATTTCACAGGCCTCTTTCCAGGGGAAAAAAAAAAAAAAAGAAAAAGGAACTGGCCTGCTCTCTCTGCAAGAGTTTTATTAAGAGCTCACCACTTGCCTAAATATGATTTTTGATGGCAAGTTGCTCTCTAGGCTTAGTGCACTGTAAAATAAAAGCCTGAGTATATGATTCCTCTGCTCACAGTGAAAAGGTCATAAAATATTTTCCATAGAAGACAAGCAAGAAACATCAGGAGACACTGCAGGATAGGGAGGGGATGACCCTGGAGCTGGAGTAAGACCCACAGAATCTTGGTTCCTCTTCCTAATGTCTGATACTGCAAGAACAGGAATTATTGCCCTGCCCTCCACTAGTAATAAAGATAAGCTGGGATGGGGAGTGGAATTGATTGTGGCCATATGGTTTGTTGAGGCACAATGATTTCTTGGTGGAACTAGACCAGAGAAATAGCTCAGGGTCAAGTAGGTGACTGGAGGAACACAAAGAGGGAATTGCTCATATCTCAAAGATATTCTGGAAATTGAGTCACTAGTCAGAGGTACCCAGTGAAGCAGAAGGTGGTAATTGGGAGGTGAAAGTGTCAGAGAAACAAAGGAGATGTAGTGGCACGGGGACCTAAGGCAAGATCATGTGAAAATTATGCAAAGGGTTACCAATTGTAAATCTTCGAAATAGGGATTTTTTTTTCCACAATAGATCCTTTAGTTCCTACCATTTTTCTACTTAAAAATAATTTATCCTATATTACTGCCTTCTCACTGTGTTTTTAAACAACACAGTACGAATACAGGCAAACTCCTAAAAATGCAGGAAGGAAATAAAAATAACATTCCTATCATAGATTATTAAGAACAAACGAACTTTTAAGGTTTCATATACTTAACACATTCATATATTCATATATTTTATACATTTTGCACTAATTACTTTACAATTCACGTGGCAACTACATGTGTATTAGAAAACTAAATGGTGGCAGGGAAGCTCTCAGGAAATGCCAGTATTGTTGTTAAAATATCCCTGACACACGTTGGCCTATGCCAGGTAGGACTCATGCAAGGAGGTCCTGGGCAGAGTTGAGGGACTGTCTGCTGGGAACAATGTGGGTTATTTAGATCCAGCTTCCCTCTTTTCTGAAGAGTAATAGAGTTTATTCGACCTAGACCATTTCATTGCAGCTTCACAAAGTGGTTTCACACACATTTAGTTTGCCAGGACAAATACAGTCAGCAAGTGAAACTGGACTAGTCAGCAGTCTTGCACAGAGGCACCCACCCCTCACTGTCCCTCATTGACTACATAGAGATCTTGCACTCCAGATTTGCTCTTCTGAATGGCACAGATTTGGTTCCTAAAGCAGTCAACACCAGCCTCAATCTCATTCTTGGGATTTTTTTACATTTTAGCACTACAACATATATGTATATATTTAAGATTTAGATACTGCAGAAGACAAACAACTCCAAATGCTCACTCTCTCAGACACACCCAGGATCAGCCAATGTGAGTTTGTAAGGGAAGACAAGAACAGATGCTACACATAGAGAGTTCTGGCATTCTACAGTGAATCACCTGCCAGGTAACCAAAACCCGACCACAGCCATTTCTGGGCAGTTATGTCCTTATTTCAGCAGCAATTAAAGACTGCAATACAGAGCTCACACTCAAGTGTACTCTGTCAAGAGAACTGGCTTTGCAGTAACCACCCCATAGCCTCCTGACTGCATGAGCACTACTGTCCACATGCAGTGAGGTGCAAAGCCACTACACAGAATGCAATAATCAACACTTCTATTGTGGAAACAACAAAATAAAGAGGGATGAAAAAGAAATCTTTTATTTCTTTGTCTCTGTGCAGTCTTTCAATATGAAACTAAAGCTTCCACTGCCTCAAAATTATAGCATGTATTGTAAAATTTATACCAGCACTAAATTTTCACATAAACTTCAGTAGATAGCATGTTAAAATATGGTGTATATGTGAAGTATTAACATTGCATATATTAGACTAGAAGAACAGAATTAAAGGAACAAAACCAGAATGAAATGCTCCATCAGTAAGGCATGCTCAGTCCCTGGCATGCACAGAAGCTCTTTCACTGCCTGGCAGGGTTTCCAAGGTACCAGATACAAACTGAACAGCACATCTGCTTACTCTCAAAACACAAGCCAGGGCATGATCCAATCTGTCTTTAACAAAGCTAAAACTGAATTAGAAATGGAGCTCAAATAAATGAATGGTTTGGAGTTTCAACCAATTTTACTTTTAAACACCCTGCCATTTGCAATGACCAAGAGTCTACGTGGGCACCTACTACTCTGACACCTTGAACATATCATCTTTTTCAGTCAACTACTCAAGGAGTAAAGTTGGTAGAATTTGACCTGGTCTAAAACCTGCATAAGGCTGCAGGGAAGAATTCACTTCTGTCTACCTTGTGGGTTTTTTGTTTGCATCATTTCACATCAGGGCATCTTCCCATAAGTAAGTCCAAACTGTACATGTTACATTGAATGCTACCTGCAAAACAGGATTTCTAGGATCTTGTGCCCCACTTAATAGTGTTTTTAATTACCATGCTCTGTATCAAAGGTACAGTACCCCAATGTTTTCAAAATATTCAAATAATCAATTATTGAAAAGTTTCCAAACGTAAGAAAGGATGATATTCGTTTAAACAACACATATGCATTTCCAGCTTACAGAAAAGGTGTTGTCATTTAAATATTCTCACTCACATGGAAGACTGAGCTTGTCAGTTATGAACGAAAGATAATATGTGAAATGACCTAAATGTAAGTCCAATAAATTTCGTAAATTTTTAACACGTTTTTAGATCAGATGCATTTGAAGAACAAATACAAGTTAAAAGTGAAGTAAGACAAACCCCATTTTATGTTGCCTTTGATCTTTAACTTGTAGCCTTATCTCCCAGGTCAGAGGGCACATTATTCAATTTCACCATATTTTGTGTAAAACCACTGTAGCGTTGAAGATGACTTTCAGTACAAATGTCATGGTACTTAAAGCTAAACTGGACTCTAGTTTTTTGAGCTTCTTAATTAAAATCACAGTTTGTAATGGTCGGACAATATTATCTTTATCCTTTCCAGTTGAGCAGCAGCAGAATTTCCACAGCATTTATTCAATCAAGCCTAGCAGTGTTTCTGCAGCTCACTCTTTCGCTTCCTAAAACAGACAACAGGGTTCAGAGCAACTATGCTGTCACTCTGTACAAATTTATTCTCTGTGTCAAAGGGAGTGAGCTGGACTGGGTGAAATCTAAACTGTTCAGGGGAACTGATGTCAAGAAGTAATTCTGAGAAAAGGAGTAAAAAAGAGTGAGAGGAAAACCAGCATTTTTTCTTAAAAACAAACCCAAAAACTTCTTGGAATTACCTATTACTTTTTGAGACGACTATGCCAGATCTTATCAGAAATATAATTATATTATTCAAATCACAGTTTATAAAAAATCTTTAATCTATAAAGAGAACAAATGTACCTATTCTACTTTAATTCAATGAGAAAAAAATGCCACGTGCTAAACAGTAGCTATCACACTATAGAAACCTAAAAACATTGCATTTGTAAGTTTTTCACATTCGAAGCTGAGGCACTTCCTTGCATTATTTGTAATAATTACCACACATCATTTAAGTATTAAAGTTGGTTAGCACTGATTTATGCTCTAAGCAGACATTCTCTTCACATAAAAATTCTTCCTTATTTTCTTACTTTTATTAATTTCTTACCATTTCATTCAGTTTCTTTTGTAAAGTGTATTTTGAAATCTGTAAAATAAGAGAGTTATTCAATGAATTGTACTCACATTTTTTCTGACAACAACCTGCATATTTAGGTATTGTTATACCTAACATAATTTCACTTCAATATTTAAATTATGTAAAACCACTTTACACTGATTTGTTACCAGAGGAGCTTTGAAAAAATGCATAAAACCTTGTGTTTTCTGACAGGTATAAAAATAAAGTGTAAATGGACTCTTAGAAAGAAGAAAACAGAGACAGTAATTAAAGTATTCCCTCAACTCCTACAGGAATATATGTCTGTTCCCTGTTGGAAAAAAAAAGCCCAAAACCATCTAGTTAGATATTCTGAATGGTAGCCTAGAAAGAGATATTGTATCAATCTCACATGCTTTAATAATATTCAGCTGACATTAGAAGCCATTAACACTATTTTAATACACCATTGACAGAGTATTTTGATTTGAACAACACTGAAGAGTAAAAGGAAAAAAAAAAGAGTCACTTCAAAGAACCCAGTGTGTGCAAATCTTATACAGAAAACATTATTTCCAGGAAAAAACCAAGAGAACCATCATTTTAAGGTAGAATTCTGACCCTCTGGATAGAGAGGAATACAGAATCAAATTTAAAATTCCTCCAAACAATTTTCCTGGGATCACATGTTCATTGTGACCTCCTGCTTCCTCAAGCCACAGCAGAATTTCCTAGATATGAACTAAACTGTGACACAAATGTTTGATCTGTGAACACTAAACCTTTCAGTTAAGCTTCTTTTAAATTTCTGTTTTATCCTACAAGAGAAAGGCCAGTGGAATCTTTTATTCCTCCTGCTGTCCACATATTATGTTCAGCAGACCATGGAGGGATATTCTACATCATCTGTGCTATGCCAAGGTTTGAACAAGGCAACAAAATCCTTACAGACACTGCACAGAAGGCCAACCATGGGAATTAATTTCTTTTGCTCCCAAGATACGTTCAGTGCTAACTACATGGTTAAATAAACAATCTGATACCATGTAAATGCATCCCATCACAACAGAATGTTGATAAGAACCAAAGCAAGTTGCAAAATCATGGTAATAATCCATTATAACTAATTTGTTTTCAATAGAATTAATTATTATCCCACTCAGTTTTGAGCAGAAAAATAATTAGTTCCTGGTAATACCTGAAATCTGGCAATGAATTACAATGCTTATAATCCATTTTCAACATATCTGCTTTGGTCTTAAACCATGGATTAAGTGGTAAATACAGACACCTCCCAGTGAAACAAAGGAAAAGACCCAAAACCACAGGTAGCACTGCAAGTTGGAGGCCCAGAGCAAATGCTTATTTCTGTTTAGGAGTCCAAAACCAGAGATTCCAGACAGGTGAGAACTAAGATGACAAGAACAGAAAGAACCAGGAAGACTGTGGAAGTGAAAAGAAAGCCCACTTCACACACTATCTGAACCTTTGGGCCTGCAGTTCTTCTGGAGGAAGAGAACATTAGTTGGAAGGGGCTACCTTAGAGTAGTCTTGGCACTGAAGATTAGAACAGAAACTCAGTGTTGGTCAGGTGTCACATGTCTACATGTCCTAGAAAGATTAGATGAGAAGGCCTTAAAGACCCTCTTAAAAACTACTATTTTCTTACTAGCAAGAAAACTAAACCCAAAAAACACTTGCAATACCAAAAAAAAAGTCGTTTAACAAAAATAATAGCTTACCTGTAATGCTTTTAATGTTTCTTTCAGTCCATCAATCTCTTTTTCTTTTGTTTCTACAGCAAGGTGGTATTTTCCCTTTCAACAAAACCGTACTTCAGGATTTGGGTGGGATAAATGCATTTACATTAAGAATTCATCCAAAAGAACGTTACAAAAATGAATTTGGACTCTGCTATGACAGAACAAGTCATTGGTGAAAAAATTCAGCTAAATAATCTTAAACTGTAGAAATATATTGGTATACAAAGAAAAGTGAAAACACAATAGCATATTTTCACCACTTATGACCATACTCAGCAAGTTTTAAAATTTTCTGTTCTTGGAGAGACAAGCCTGACAAAGGCAGAATTAATAAGTTATTTTAATTTAGAACAAAGACACTAAATATAAAAAAAAAAAGTTTCAGGTAAATCCATTTTCTTATCTGCTGTAGAAGGGTCTTCACAGAAACAACTCCCTCAGTTTTTCCAAACCACAAAGACTGAACTGTAAGCTGCTATCAACAGAATTACTAAGTACAGTTTGTATTTTTCTATATATAAATATAAAAACACATGTGTGTTCATATACACACACACACATATGTATAAAATGAGCCCGTGAACAAAGTCAAAGGACTTCAGTAGAATTAAATCAGTTAGGCAGCAATCAGTGGAGAGCAGAATCAAATATCAGAGAATACACCAGGGAACACAAATGCATCCATTCAACCACCCCTGCATGTTCCAGACATTTCTAACATAGTGCTGGCTGGGCAATCTCCTGAAACCATCCTGATGATTAATAGTACACCTAATCTCAGCTGGAGCAAATATTGGTCTTTCAACTCTGTCCTGAAGCATGAAAGCTTCATTTATTCTTTCAGTTACTTTGGTATAAAAGTACTGAAAGTACAATTCAATTCAATGGAAGTATTTAGAAGGAAAAATTAATCAGCATACAATTTAATTCTGAAACAGTGGCTGCCACTGAAAACACAAATCAGAGACTAATAAGTGGGTATGTGTGGGCAAACAGAAAGTCTCAGCAAGAAGAAACTCCAAATACAACCAACAAAATAACTCAACCAGAAAACATAAATGCAGTAAACAAAGTTTACTTTGATGCACTTTCCAACCATTTGACCAGTTTGAAAATTTCTAAGTTGCTATGGAATGTGCAGATACTCATCTGCTCTTAACTACTGGGAAATTTGAGTGAAACAATAGAATCCACACACATACATTCATTGATTTCACTCTTTGAAACAGGCTCCTGGTACACTAAATGCAAATCCTTCATTCAGAGGAGGAAACAGGCACTCAACTTGGTATAAAAACTCACGTGGTTAAGAAAAATCACATAAATTCAGGGTTAAGTATATCTTGCTTCAGTTTAGTTCAAGTTTCTTATGAAACTGGTTCAGCTAAATCAAGAAAAGCCCTATTAAAATCTGGTTTCCCTAAACCAGTTAGAAATGTTATTTTTCACTAGTACTTGGAAGGGCCAAAGAAAGTTTGTCCAAACCCCAACCCCTAATAAAGTAAATTTTGTACAGTTTCAATACAGAAATATCAAAGAACACTCTTTCCCCCACTGATTTTTAGCATAAACCAATTTTAAAGTGACAATTCAGGAGTAAAGTTCCATAGGCTATAAACAAACAAACAAACAAAAAAACCCCAGAAGTAAATTCCTTTTGCAAAGGCCATAGCAAGAAAAATAACTTAACTGCAATTTACTTAGTTTATACTTGTTTGGTAAGTTATATGGCATTAGCATTTGCTTATGCACCTCTCTGGATGACAAATAACAAATAGTTACAGAGTACCTTCTCTTCTTCCATGGCAAACATCCTTGCCTGTAGCTTGATTATCAGTGGCATGGGAAAAAGAAAAACAAGAAACAAACAAAAAAAGTCAATACAACACAGGACATCAATTTTATTCATGCAACTTGACAAGACAATATAGTTATATTACCCTGCATAGTGTAATTACTGATTTTTTTTTAAACTACAGTCACAAACAGAGATCTGTGAATCTCAAATTATTTTTTCAAGACAAAAAATTAATTGCTTGCCAGTTTCTTTTTTTGTGTGACAGGATTGAGATGCAGCATTGGTGATAAATTCTTCATCCCCACGTGCAACAGTTTCAGTGCCTATGACTGTTCTCTGCAAGGTCTTTCAGCATTTAATATTTACTCATTATATATTATGGAGAGTAAAATGCAAGACTGACACATGTTGGCCAGAGTAAGTTCTGTGGCAGATCTTTTACCATGGTTTATGAATCTACCCTTGCAGAGGTCATGCCATCTCAGAGGGGAAAACAAAAAAAAAAAAACAACAAAACAGAACAAGAAAAATATTACAAGAAGCATTTTCTTCTTTAGGAGTTTTTTGGGGGAAAAAAAAGAAAGAAAAATCCCAGGAGGAGTGGTTTATTGGGAAGATCTGTCAAAATACAAGCATTATACTGTGTCCAGAAAAAAGAAAAGGACATGATTTCTCTGAGCTGTATATTCTAACATTTTCTATGCAACAGAAAAATATTTTCACACCAACTGGCAACTTGCTATGATGCCATCATATTAGAAAAATCTCACAGTCAAACCTAGAAGGCCTTATTTTGCTACCTGTTTTTTAAAAGCTGCCATAGCTTCTTTGTTCTGTTGCTGCAACGTGTCTGTCTGATGCTGCAGAGTCTCCTGCTCATGAGAAATAACAACAGTGTTATTTAAATATTATCTTAGAGCCAAGCATATACGTAGTATTTCCAGAAAAAAACCTGATTCCTGGCTAAGAAAGACATGACTGATTAAAAAACCCTGAAGACTAAAAAGAGGCATTTGTTAACTGATAATCATCTCTGGTAGCAGCTTCTCTTTAAGTCTTAACAGGTAACAATTCTCACCTCTGGAATACAGACCTGTTGCTAAGACTTCTGTAAGCAACTCCTTACCCATCCCACCAACCTGCAGATGTAATCCACAACCACTGCCATCTTAACACAGCATCTGGACACTGTTCCAGGTACTTATAATAGAATTTTAATACCCATTTAAAAGTATAATCCCATTTAAAATAACAATCTGGTATTCTGCTTTTAGTTAAACTTTAGTCACTTATCAAGCTACAAGAAAGAGCTGAGGGAGGGCAGAAAAGACTAAGTGTAAGGCCATAGTATAAAATTTTTATCATCCTCCTGCCTGGCTTTACTCTTACCTATAAAAACAAGAAAATGAGTTAGGATGTACTTTTTTTTGTTATGATTTCATGTCATGATCTTATAGATTAATACTACACTCTGCAAGTTAGAAATCTCAAACATCTTTAAGCATCATGCTTCTGTTCAAGATACTTCACCTTTACCAAGGAAGGCAAATATGGAAGATCAGGTTTTCTAAATCCTAGACACTAAAATATATTAGGTAAAGGTAGTCAAAAGGCTCTGTCCTTGAATAGCTATCTCAAAATATAGATGAGTTTAGGTAAGATGTATTAGTGTGAAACAGGAAACAAATCAGAAATGGCTGCACGAAACCAAATATAAATCGAGACTATTAAAAAGAACGAATGGGAGAAAATAAATTGATCATTTGTTTCTCACACAAGAAGTCTAATTTCTTCTTCTGCCTTAATTGAGAAAGTGAGAGCTTTTTAAACATGAAGCCCATTCCAAAATTGCTTTCCTGCAGCAAATTGGTGTTGCTTTCACATTCTACAAGTGAGAGCTGTTGCCCTTTGATACAAGAGTAGAATCCATGGTGGTTTACAGTCATGTACTTACTCATTAACTCATTGTAACATAAGTAGGGAAAGTTTTGATCTGCATCTAACAAACAACACATACTATGTAAATGAATATTCCAAAACATGAAAACAGAAGTCTTGAGAAAGGTTTTCCTCAGGTTGGCCCTTAGACTGTGTTCAAAGACGGGTTCTCCAGTGGGTAACAGGCAAGCCAAGGACAGTAAGAGAGCCAGAAGCAGGGACAGCAAATTGACTGCTCTCAGTGGACTTTTCCTGCTCACCACAGGACTAAAATTTTATATCCACTGTATTGTCAAATTAAGATCACACTACTTTAAATAAAAGGAATTCAAGTTGATATCATATAGTAATTTATGGAGATATAGGTTTGGTTTCATAAACCAGTCATCCTTTATACAATTTTGTCACAGATGTAATGAAAAAAAAAGCATTACTGAAGTCTTCATAACATACCACTTCCTTGTACTGTATGTTCAAGTGATGCATTTTACTCTTAAAAAGAGACAGGGGAGTGTCTACAAATATTCCTTTCCTAAAAAGCCTCACAGGTAAGACTATCAAAGACAATGATTATATATAACTCTCCCAGAAATTCAGTTTTGGAATATATTTTCCATATATGGCACGTATCCGTGGTGCAGGGAGACTGAAGAACTAAGTTATTTTTAAAAAATAAAGGCAAAATCAGTTTTGATATAGTGATGTTACAGCAAGTACAATGAGTATGCTTATTATATGTAAAGCAGTATTTTCTCCAGTTATTCTGTTTTCCCTGCCCTAGCACATTTTTCTCAAGAGCAGCAACAGTATTCATAAAATGTAGACAAATACTTGCTTTAAAATTGTAATATTAAACCAGAAACTTAGCTGAAGTCATGTCTTTATTTTAAACTAGTTTGTTAAATTTAAGGTAAAATAAAATGAATGACAGAAATGTTGACTGAAGGGGAAATCTCTGAAGGAAAAAACATAATGGAATCTTTGATAAGCCAGGGGAAGCTGCCTATGCACTGAACTACTACTGAGGTCAATGTGAGCCTGCATTCAGAAACCATCAGGACACTAATTCAATTTAAATGCCAGACTTAGAATTTTCATCTTACTGGAATCTCCAGGAAAGTTATAAGAACTTGTTCTTTGAAGTTCCAGAATATGTGCTCACATGAAGTTCCCCAAACCTACACCTTGTTGTTTTACATTACCTTTGCCATGTGCCAGTGTGCAGGAAAAAAAAAAGAGTTTACCTAATTACCTGTAAGTTCCACCTTTTTATTAATGGTAAATTGCTGTTTAAGGTCTCAGAATGGGTGGAAATCACCTCTTTTCAACCCAGATTATTAAGAACTGCAGTGCTAGGTAAGAAAAGCAAAGAAAGCTTACAAACTGAAAGCACTGTTGCTTTTACAAATATAAAATGTTTCCTGTTTCTCTGTGCACATATATATCTTTCAGGAAAGAAAAGCACATAGTTAGGATTATTAATTTAAGATTGTTAGGATGAACTCCAAGATGAAATAGTCTTCCTTTACTACTAAGATGTTAAAAATCCCAAGATCAAGGATAGAGCTGAAATTATTGTTTTTTCTGTGATCATAAAATATACAGAGTGAAGTCTTTTATCCTGTGACCCACTGACAGGGGTCATAAGTTTGATTGTATTAGAGAAGGGAATGGATTTCCTATGAAAGCATAACCTCAGGAGCCCCAGCTCCAAGAAGAATGTTAGACTTCTGTTACCGAAAACTTCATTCTGAATGTTTAAAAGCCGACAAACTGCTTTTGAGTATGTCTAACATACAAGTTCCCGTTTCAAAGAATTCTTTTTGGAAAAATTGTCGCTTCCAGAACATTGCAAGGGAAGTTGTTTGTTGTATTTGCACTTGCCAAAGTCAAGCATAATACAGAGAAGCTGCTGCACAGCTTCCCCCACACTAATATGTCAACATGCCTCACCTTAAGCTAAATATCTTATTGTTTCAATACTTCCCTCCTTCTGGACTGGAGATTTCCAGTCATGCCAAATATTTTGATAGTTTTTTGTTAAACACAGTTCTAGGCCAGGCACAATCCAAACCAATATAAAAGCTACACATGTTCATGGCTAAACAATAAACTCCTGGTTAGCACATTCTGCTACTAGAAATAACAACAGCCTTCAAAAGAGGAATGGTAGCAAATCACAATTTATGTTAATATATTAAAATTAAATCTCTGCAGGTCAAACACTAAGAGCATGCAGGAAAGTTACCTTCTGCCATTCAAGTTCCTGTTTCTCTACAACAATTTTATTTATTTGATCTTCATAATTAGTCTCCGTTTCCTGGTTAAAAAAAACCAAAGAAACAAATATAAGACAGTACCTGCAAATCAAACACCAACATAAGTCATGTACTCATATTTCTTCTTCCTTTACAGTCCAGTACACACAACAGTATGTGTCTGCAAACCACACAGATAAAAAGGAAACAGAAGCTCCCTGGATATGGCAAAATAGCAGATGAGTTCAGCTGGTTTGGTCAGAAAATTTGCAGAATAAATAACATTGATTGAAATGCATAGCAGAAGATTAGGAGCTGGGATTACAGCTCTCTTAATTAGCAGGAATGGTTCCCTCTTCACACATATTATCTTCTGCATCTTACAACAAAACCAGACTCAAAGGGAATAAACCAGACTTGACTTCACCATTGAAAAATGATTCTGATGAAGAGAGTCAAAAAAGGAGATGAAGAGAAATTCAGCAAGCTGCAAAATGCTTTATGGATCCACTGTAGTCAGTGATACAGATAATCGTGGTTAATGACTCAGAATCTTTAGGACTTCTTAAATATTCCACTCACAGCATTTGAACCTTTATGCTTTTTGACATCTCCTAGGGACAAGTGAAAGTTTGTGTCAGCAACTACTTCTGTTATTACGGAAAAAGCTAAATGTTTATCATAACCTTCGTGCTGAGAAGCCTCCAGACCTATCAAATAAAAGAAGTTAAACATAATCATGGATAATAAACACATTTTTGATAAAATGAGCTATCAGAAAATCTGAGAAGACCATAACTGAAGTCTGAAGTTTCCTTCACAATCCAGAAGAGGTACCAGCAACAGGAAGGTGTGTTCTCCAGTTTCCCTGTTCTTTCAGAATCACCTTATCAAGAATCTAACTATTACTGTGATAATAAAGGAGCCTTATCTGCTGATAATCACAGATGGTAAAAAATTATGAGAATTTCCCTGAAACATTCTGGTATTAAAGTCAAATTTTCCCTGACAGGAATCAGCTTCCCTTCTGAACCAAATTTTTATGAGCATGGGCCTTGCTTTTCAAATACAATACTCAAAAAAAAAAAAAAGATAGAACAGGTTCCCCTGTGGAACAGTCATGACTTCTTGCAAGAACAGTATTCAGGCTTTGATGCATGTCATAAGCAATTCACCACTGTCCTTTTATTGCATGTAGTCAAAATAATGAATATCCCTTAAAGACCCAGGGAGCTACACTAATGTGTCACTCTGAGCCTCAAAAGGCAGATTTCCTGCCTTTTCTCTGCACACTGATGATCAGCTTGAAAAGGGGACCACATTAAGGTAAGACAAGACTTCTCTTTGATGAATTGTTGCACTAATAACATTTGCTGAGGTCTTGTGTTGGACACGCTCCAACAAGGGCCAAACTGACTGTGTGAGGGTAAAAGAATATTCCCAATACTTGAACAGTGTATTTTGATATATTATGTGCACATTTATGCTCTTTTGAGTTCAACTTCCCCACTAGAGTTTGAAACCTGCAATGTAAATTCATGAATAAATTAGTGCTCTTGAAATGACTCACATGTCAAGAAGTGATTATAATCCTTAGGAAAACAGTGACATCTCAGGAAAAAAAAAATGGATTTTTCTAGTAAAAAATTAAAAGCAGGCCTCGAAAAAATTATTGCCTTAAAACTGGGGTTTAAGTAAAATTCTACTGAATTGCAGTACCATGAACAACTATTACTTACCATGAGGGAAAAAATAATCCCCTCTGGATGAAGTAATACATTTCCTGACACACTGAAAGAACAAACTGAGGCTCTTTCTCCCTCCACAGTGAAGCAAACAATACAAATGCTTTGGTTATCAAGTATGCTGCATCTTTAAGAAATGCAATTCTTTCCTAAACTCAGTACAAATGAGGGTTCCAAGTTTTTGATACAAGGATATTTACAACACTTCAACAACTGGTGCAAAACAGTTCTGAAGAAGATTTTGCAACCCTTTCCACTTAGTATAATATTTGATTCATGGTCCCACTGTATCATCAATAGACAATAAAACAGCAAAATACATCCCGAGGTGATTTAAAATAGGTTTTTGACATCTTTTAGAGGGTTTAGGGTCAAAACTGACTTCCTTGATTGACAGTTTACAGGTACATGTGTGGATGGAAACACACTTCTATCCACAGGAGGCTACTCCTGAGCATTTCAAGAGATGCTTGCAGGGTCTAAAAATATACCTCAACACTCACGTGAATTTTTGCATTTTACAAAACACTAAACACAAATATAAAATTAAAATTTGGCTTCCAGAAAACTAGAGAAAAGTTCTTTAGCTTTTGCTTCTCCGGTAAGTACCAGTAGAATATAGATGGAGAAGAGACCTAAAGGTTTCATATGCTTTAAGGTAAAAAAAATTAAAATTAAGACAACTTGAGAGATTATCAATGCTTCCCAGTTCTGCCCTAACAAATAGTACTTCAGAGTTGCAATGACTTTGTTTTCTGATACTAATCTACAAGTACTGAAGGAAAATACATCCCCTTCATTTCCCTGGAGTGTTAAAACCAAACAAGTTTGACTTAGAGCTCCTTATAAAGGTGTAATCTTAAACCATTTAAGTCATTAAGCAACAAATGCTATTAAAATGATATATTATTAGGAAAAATGTTGCTCGAAACTTTAAGAAAATGGCAATACATTCCATTTTAAGCAAGTCCTTTGCTGGGAGTACTAAACAGGATAAGAACCAAAGTTCTAAGTGAACAACACTCCTCCAACCTACCCCCAGATTATAAAGGAAAATCTGGAAACTATCAAAAATGTGAATGTATGTAACTACTGTTGAAAAAAATAAACATCATAAATACTTAAACCGAGAATGACAATTACATGACAAAAACGTTCTCATGTGAAATCGCCGACAGTTACAAGCCTTATCCATCATTTTTACATCTTTCAAAGGACATTTACAGTTTATCCATTTTGAATGGAAAGCTTTTAAAAACTTGTGTGAAGCACTTTTTTTTTTTAGAAGTTCTATCAGCTGTTTAATAAGACAAAAACATTTTTGTTATACTTAGGAGAAGGATATTGTATATAACCCTGATGAGGTATCAAAAACCCGCAAAACCTTACAAGTGTTCATTTTTTATTAGACGCCTTAGGACTACATGGATTTAAGTGTTTTTATAAAAAAGACTACCATAACAATAAAAGAGGAGTAATTTGATGGTTTATTTACTCGTTATAACCTTTAGAAAGTGTCAAGCCTTCTTTAAAGTGTTTGCTTCGGGCTGTGGTTTTACAAGATGGGCTGTGGATTGGTCAAGCCCCCTCGATTCCTGACCCTGAACAGATTTAGGAACAGAGTACAGCTGGCTTGTGTCCAAGCAGCCAAAACTGCTGCTAGGTACTTTTATTATCTTTTTCAAACTCACAATCTACCTCCTACAAAATTGCACATCCAATTCTCATGCAGGTCAATCAAATACTACTCACTGAAACTACAGTTTCCCATTGTCTCATACTAGAATTAGAATTCCCTTCATGAACTAAACAGAGCAGTATAACTTTTAGTGGACTTTATGGATATCATTTTTAAGTTTGGTTTCCAGCACAGATTTTAAAGGGAGGGAAAATATTTATAGCAGAGTTATTCTAACTTTAGTTCCTGATAAAACATTTTGGATCTTAATAGTTACGACAGTTAACAAAAAACCGTAGCAACCATATGTTTGGAACCTGTTCTCAAAAATTTCAGAAGCAAAGACACAGAAATGCATCCCAACCACCTTTTTCCTTTGGAAATCTTTCATTGCTCTGTCCTTGACTCTACTGCACAGGCTGCAATTGTTCTATATTTAAATAAATCTCATCTATTGAAATGTATTCCTAGATAAGCATTGCATTGATACTTCCAGTGCTCTTCTCTCCAACTGCAAGAATTGTTCCCCCCCCTTTAATTCCTTTTTTTTTCCTCTATCCATTAAGAAAATGAAATCAAACTCTTCACCATTCTGTTTGTTAGCAGTTAGAATTGTTATTTGCAATAAACCTCACTAAAATCTTGCGTTTTCATAGCAGCCTCTTTATTTCCAGAAAATGTTTCTCCTTTACTTTCCAAAATACTAATTGTCCTTCTCATGAACAAGTATTAAAACATACAGTATTAAAACATTTCTTTCTTTCATGATTCTATACTTATCCTATGCAGTAGCCTGAAAATAACTTAAAACCAAGCTCTGTTTAATTAAAAAGAAAAAAAAAAAGTAAATCTGTATTTATGCAATAATTTCATTCAATCTCATGGTTTTGGTCACTGTAGATGGTTGCCACAGAGCTGCCTATAGAGCTACAGGTGCCTCTGGTGCCCTTTGTAACTTTTCTGCTGTTCTACACCTCTGAAGGGGGTTCTGCTTCTGCAGAACACGCCTCCAACAAGATTTAGCACTTGGTGGATTGTAATGTTTCTAGGGATTTTTTTTAGGTCTAGATATAGGCCAACAAATATGACCATTATGATCATAACTGGCATGTCCACTGATATTGTAATGCCACTGATAACTCAAGTTCAGTCCCTCTGCTTTGCTCATTCTGAGAAGTTTATGGTTTCATCAACTTTCTTCACTTAATATCTCAAAAAGCAACTTGTCTTTTGGGCCCAAGTGACATTTCCAGCCCCATTTTGCAGTGCAAAGCAGAAGCACATTTTAGGAAAGTGAGAGAGTAGTCAAGGGTGAGCAAAGCTCCTTCATGTCCTGCCTCTAAGAAGAACTAAAAACAGGCCTCTGTGCTGAAGGACACGGGTTAGAAGAGCCAAAGCCACAGCAAAGTTAGAGTAGGAGGAATTTGAGATAAATTGCTCAAAACTCTCTGAAAAGAAGAGCACATCTAGCTCTGCAGTACCAGGGTGAACTGTGGCTTCCGAGAACAGCAACCAGGAAAAAAAATCCAGGAGAGGTGTTGTGAGAGCCATAATGTCTGTCTGCAGCATGGCAAGAGATGTGAGTCAGGATTTGGCTCTTTTAGCAAATAAGTAAATATCCTTCTAGTGTTTTCTTCCTTGATGGCTGCTCACTGGCATCAGCATGGAAGTGGGTAAGCACCAAAAGGTCTCACATATCAAAACAGAAGAAGGCAGAAGACAGAAAGCAACAGAAACTCAGAAAAACAGGGGACAGAAAGAGGGGAGAAGAGCAATAAGGGCAGGGAAAGTGAGTGAACAGCAAAATGATAGCACCAACCAGCTTTTAAAGAATATTCCTGTCCACAACATGGAACTGATAGCAGAATGAATTCTGAGACCCCACATTTCTGTGCTGTGATCAGACATGAAACTCCTGTGAGCACAGGTAGAAAATCTGTAGCCAATCAGACATCTCATCCCCCCTTCTGGTGGCTGGTTCTAATGCCACCTGCTACATCAACACACTCCTTTGGCTCAAGCAAGGCCAAAGTTTCATGTAGTGCTTGATGCTAAATAGTAGGGTGATAAGTACCAGTAACAGCAAGTCAATATGGCTTCAATTTACAAAGGGTGGTGGGTTTTTTGGGGTGGGAGGTGAGGGTTTGTCCAGGATTCTAAAGAATCCTATATTAAAATCTTTATTTGAACACAGAAAATGTTTTTTATGGGTAAAATCAATGCTCTTCGGAAATCTAATGTTCTTTAATACAACACAGTTTTCTTTTATGGCAAATATTACCCTTGTGAGAAACACAAGAAAACCTGAGAGCTGGAAAAAATTATTAAGTATTTTAATTAAAAGAGAAGCACTACCAAGTTATACCTATATCATAACTGCTCAAAGAGAAAAGAGGAAAATTTATTGTTTGTCACTTTGACTAAACAGAAGAGTATCAAAGTTAATAAATTCAAGGCACAAAGGACAGAATCTACAGTATCACCCAGGCTTTATGAGGTCTCAGTTAACACCAGAAAGAGCCTCAACAGCTGCTTGTTTTCAGGTATGGAAACAGGTCACTGACGCTTATCCTTTGCACCAAATAAAACATTACTAAAATTTTACAAATCATCACTAAAATTTATCTTCCTTGTGTTCAGCTAATCAACATCCACGGTGCTTCAGCTGCTACTTAAAACCATCCATACCCCCAGGGTGGTAGAATTCCCTTGATTTCTTATGTTTACATGCTTTTCTGCCTAAGGATGTTTTTTTGGTATCTAGGACAAGGAAGAAAATAACACAATATATCTGCCTTCTTGTCCTTGTAAACATTTTTCTTAGACCTAATGTCAGTTGTCCTACATGTATTACACTTCAGAAAGCATTAAAGACTTCCAATTTGACCTACTACTCCACAACTTCATGCTGCCAAAATTGATTATATTTATCCCTTAAGCAAAGGATCATCTCTTATATCCCAATAAGATGCACTCAGTTGACTGTGGATCGAGGTTGACAGACCTGGAACAAAGTGAATGGGATATCCAGCACAAAAGAATCCCTGATCAGAGTTTGATGAGTGGGAAAGCTAAACTGGAAAAAAAAAAAATAGGACATTCAAACTACTGGAGTGTGAAGTAATCCCTGGGGGGGAAGAAGAAAGAGAAATGTAATTTTTGGTAGGTTTTAATTACATACATATTCATATTATGTCAATTCATATTGAGAACAAAGACCCTATGGAACAGCCAAAAGAATAAAGTGAAGCCGTATCAAGTATTAGCAATTTATTTATCAATTTATTTATCAATTTATTTATCAATTTATTTATCAATTTATTTATCAAGTTTAAGCAATTTATTCTTTAGAACAAACAGGCACAGCTATCAGTGACTGGGATTTCATCTCACTTACTATGAGAAAATCCTCTAACTATTTTTGAGAATTTAATACAACTATACATTTAACCAAGAAAAACTGAGAGATGCTTTGAAGTAACCCCATGATTTGAATAAGCATATTCAGGAAAAAAAAAAAATATATTTCTACTTTAAAATAGTATCTGATGACATCAAGTAAGGACTGCATCAAGTGTCTCAAAATATTTTCATATTTAAGAGTTTGATTTTCATCTGTCTAGCTTCACACTGCTAATTTCATCTCCAAATTTATTTTTATTAATCTGAATTTATACTGCAGCTTAACCAACCATCCAAGGCAGTTTATTACATTCAAAATACACAAAAGTTCCTGTCCTGAAGAATCTCCCAAGTGACAAGCAAGACCAACAACGGGAAATAAAACAGAAGCAAGCAGATGTAAAGTAATCTCATCTAAGGTCAAGCCACAGGTCAAAGACAAAATTGAGAGTGAAATGCACCCTACTGGCTCTGCTGCCTCCCTCAGGCTGCCAAGTCTACTGAACCTCACTAGAACCTGGAAAAGAAGTGGTAAAAGCAGCAAGAAACCTGCAGAACTGCAACTTTTCCTTCGCTTTCTTATGGAGCAGATGACACAGTTTTTATGTTTCGTTCTTGTCCGTGGAAAAATGAGCACGGTGCAAGACAGGCACAGTAATCCTCTGAGTTACCCCTGTGCTGCCTTCTTCTCAGGGCTGGTTAACAGAATAACCTCATGTTGGTTGAATTCGTAAAAAATTCATACCTAAAATCAGGAGAGGATTTTGTAGATGGTTTTTTTGGGGGCAAAAACATCCATACAAAGTTCTACTTAAAAAGATGACATCAGGCATAGCCATATTATTCTATAACCCTTGCTTGTTCAAAATATTAATGCTTTATATTCCAAATTTCAAACATACTAAGCAAGCAGCCCTGAAATGATTGTTAAATCAAAACAAAACAAGATGCATCCAGGGATACTTGAAGATTTCAAACTGGCTGCCTGTAAAAAGCTCAACCTTTTTTTTACCTAAATTTCCACCTGAACAGGTAAATATAAAAAAATATATATATTTTTCAGGGTAAAGGAAAGCACAGCTATTTTAGAAACTTAGGGTCACATCTTAACTGTGGAATTGACTCTTGGCATTTGCATCAGTTTTGAAACTAAAAATACCTTTAAGGCAAAAAATTACTCACCTTCACAGGGTGACTTTTATAAAATCACAGAATCTTATAGTATAGCAGACAAACAAAAACAGACCAAAAAAACCAAAAAAATCCCCAAAGATGAAACTCCAGAGCACTCCATAAAGACTGCAGGCTCTGACCAAGTGCATCAAAAATGCAAGGTTAAGTTAACAATGTAAATGGAATTCAGCTAACAGATCTTATAAAGAAAATATACTGCAATTATTAGAATAAACTATTCAGTCTTTACTTTTTAATACAAAAATAGTTAGGCTGGAGTAAACACTACCATTGTAACACAGGTCTGGGGATCAGACCATGCTGGATTTCAACAATACTGCACCAAGAAGGCAGCATCATGCAGCCTTTTTCTACTTTTTATTTTATGGCAGTCATTCTTTTGTTTATGGTAGTCATTCTTTTGTTTATGGCTCTTAAAGAGAGGATTATAGCATTTAACTTAGATCAAAATAAGCATAAATCAAGCATGTCATCAATACTAATATTTTAAAAGTAATAATACAGATATTTTGAACAGGTCAAATTCATCAAATGAAGCAAGATACACTTTGGGTCTTTCAATATACACAATATACAGTTCAGGAACACTGAGGGGGGAAACAGAACCAAATGTTTACACACACACACACAGCTGAAAAAGGAACCAGGGAAAAATACAACTGAAAAATTAACTACAGGAAAACTACACACCAGTGCAGAATCAATATTACCTTGGTACTACAAGATGATTCAACTCACAGTTAAAAAAACAAAATATCCCCACCCTGAATACTCAATGCACTGTTATTGCAGGAATCTAGCTTAATAGTCTAGCAACTTAAAAATGGTGAAATAAAGTTATCACAGTAGCTCTTTGCCCTCTTATGTAATTCTGAAAAGCACAAATAAATGGACAAAAATAAGTCAAAAATCATTGCTCTTCTGCCAAACGTCAAATCAATTATGAAAAGAGAAAGACTTAGGGACTTGGCAATTACTTGGATTCTTTCTTTTCTGTCAAAGTCTGTTCTTAAAGAGAAGAACTACAATGAAATAGAAAAATTTAATGTAGATAATTTTGTCAATAGCCTGGTCATCAACCATCAACTCTGCACACTAGCACAGGAAAACCAAATTCATTCCCCGGCAACCCTGTTGTCTTTGTGGTGTCTACAGAGAAATTTGTCATACAGACACTACCTAAGCCTATGATATTTTTAAACAAAACCCTGGCTGGTGAATTACTTAAAATACAGGCACGCTTCTGCAGCATTTTCTCTGATTACACACAGGGAGACAGAAACAAGACAAAGACACTAAAGCCAACACAAACAAATTTACCCTTCTGATCCGCAGTTCTTCTGTTGCCTCCAACAAACTCGTCTTGAAGTCCAACAGTCGAATGGAAAGTAACGTCTCTGATGGACTCTGAAGAGTGTGGTCAAGTGCCTGTGCTTTGAAGTCTTCATCCATTCTTCCAACTTGTTTCTGCAAAATTAAGATGTGCATTTCCTCTCCGGTTTATCTTTAAGAGAACATTCAAACTGCAAAACTCGCAAATATGGAAGCAAACTCATTTTTGAAAAGAGTAAAACTACCAACTGCAATATTTCCATATCAAATTTGTGTGCAATATTGTAAAAGAAAACAAACAGCTTTATCATTAATCCACAGTACTCCTTTCCTTCTCCCCTTTATTTTTTGGTTTGGTTTTAGTTTTAAAAACAAAGACTGATGAGCAGAAAGAAGTAGCACGGGCTGTTTTCTAGATCTCCTGCCCTGCACTGGCATGAAGGTGCTGCAATTAATGCATCAGGCCATGAAAAAGTAACTGCCTACCTACAAGATTTCAAAAATCACAACATGGGCTCACTTTTAAAGGAAACCTTCAGACTGGCCTGAAATTAGGAACTCAAGGTAATACTCACAGTCCTTGCTTCTGAATTTTAACAAGAAAACTTTCTGATTCTGCTACTACTAGATCAAGTATCAAAATGTTCCACTCTAAGCCAGCTGCATCAACTGTTGTCAAGCAAGGAGTTGTGCTAACATGAGCCCCAGGTGCCTCTGTTAGGACGAAGCGTGTTTGTTAGTGACATCAGAGGTGAATTATTCATAAAAATTTTATTTCACATTTTATTCACAAAAATTTTATTTCACCTTTTATTCACAAAACCAGAACAAGTGTACACACTTCATCTGTACTTCCCAGATTATAATTTTTAATTCTTGAGCCTGAATTTTCACCAGTCCACTAGAATACAGGACACTATCCCTCCCAGAGACACCCCGTGTGTGTCTCTGCACTAAGAATTACAGAGGTAGGGTTAGAGCACAGGAGTTATGACTGACCTGGCTGCTGCCACAGAACCTCTAGGAAAGAATTCCTGCAGGAAGAACAGAGACCTGGTCTGTATCATGGGGCCATAACAACTACAAATCAGGGCTCACCACTTTTTCTGCTGTTGTCTAAATAAACCCCTCACATAGATCACGTTTAAGCTGCTTGGTCATGGATAATAGATTGACTCCTTGCTCAGCTGCCCCACCACCCAAGTTATTTTGTTAGTGAAACAATGGGTTTGCTAAAAAACAGACAAATCAGGCTCATTTTTGCCTTTCATTTTCAAACATATGACCAACATTGAACTGCTCAGTATGAAATATATAAATTCTTTTGTCGGTGTCAAAATGTGTGTGTTTGAAGGACTTCTGAAGAGGCAGCAAATCAAGTCTGAATAAGAACCATGTATAAACAAGCACCACTTCAGGCAGCAAATCTGTTGTGTCAATGTGCCAACATGAATCAGGCACTGTGCAGGCAATCTGCATACATTTTAGATACGGGTTTTTTTTGAAGAAAAACATTAGGATAAAAAAACCACTACTTATATTTTAGCCAAAGAATTTAGAATTGGTGAACTCACACTCTCCCAAAAGCACATTGAAAATTTTGTTTGCTTCACCCAAGTTTTCAAAACTGTTTCCTTACTGAGAGATGTTGCACCAATAACTCATGAAGAACTACCACAAACAAACTTCTGATATCAAGTATTGGGAGATGATCATAGCTACAAATCTAATAAAAATGCTCATATTATGCCCAATAGATTAGGCAGAGAGCCATTTGATTTCACTTTCACTCATCCTATATTTTGATCTGAAGAGGACACTTTTGCAAATATGACACGTGCTCTAATTCCATTGCTGTCAGGTGACATTACAGGTTTGGAGTTGGGCAATCCTAAAGTGATGGATTTCTACAAGACAGTGTTGGTACCACATGGAGAATCCTGGTAGCCTGTGTTAATAAGGGGGAAAAAAAAAAAGTGCCTGTGAAAAACCTGGCTCAGAAAAAGGATCCATCCCACAAAGGCAGGTGCACTTGAAGAAGTGAACTTCAGCTATGAAATAATCTCTATTCAGGTCAGCCAGTAGAAGAATGTACATTAACTGATACACACCGGGGCTTCTGATTTTTCCTTCCCATCACAGAAGCAATCTGAGAATTATTTTCTCAAGGGGATGTTTTCAAACCAAGGCTGAGGGACAGAAGAAAAAGGGCCTCAGGCATCCATGGGCTTTCTCTCAGCTCAGTGATCCCAGCAGGAGCACCTGACAAACAAGGCTTCCCCTCCCTAAGCCGTAAGTGAGGATAAACACCTTCCCTCTTTCCTGAGCGAAGCTCATTGAGTCTTCCCCCATCCCTTCATCCTGACAGTACTATTTTCTCACGGGCAATTTGGACTCAGGCAGCTTTTCCAAAACTGCAACAAAAATGCTTCCCAGCCTACTGCTGGAATCTGCAAGGAACAGTGTGTGTTAGACACACTCCCTCCTGCCCTCCTCGGAATTCAGCGCCAGACACCTCCGTGGGCTCTACCACCACTGAGAGATCAAAGAACTGAGTCACCTGCACACAGGTTTGCTTGGCTAGAAACTAAAACACACAAAATATAACAATAAGGTTACAAAATACTTTAAAATCCCTACCAGACTGATAAAATGCCTACTTTCGATATCACACGTCAGTACAATCCTCTAGAGCCACGGCAGAGGTACGTGATAAATAATAAATGCCCTTCATCACAGAAAATTTAAAAAAATTCTCGTGTAATCAAAAGATATTTCCAAAGAGATGCAATTTTACTTTAGCAATTGGTGTTTGTCAGAATACCTGTAAAATAATTAGAAAAAAAAATCTGAAGCATATATATGATAACCGTCTGAAAATGAAAGATTGAAGCGCCTATTTTGAAGCATTTACTATATTTGCTTTCCTATTATTTGCTTTATGTTTAACAAAATAAGGACAAAAATTACTTTTTAAAAAGCACATTAAAAAAAATCCATTTTAACACATTTTTAAGTGTTATAAAGGGCTTTATATCTTTGAAAAGCACTTATTAAAAATTACATCTTAAATACCCTACACTAGAAAGTAAGTTAGCCTATAAGCCTGATAGGGGTCAGGGTAATAACACAGAATGAACAAATTACACTGTCATTCCACTTAAATTATTTAAGTTATTTAATTTGACCTGTAGATAGTCTCTTGTCTTCTCATCATGCCTGACTTTTAAGTGGGAGGTCTTCATTCATGATGATCCTTTAATGGAAGCAAAGCTTTCTCCATTTAACCCATGGTGTTATCAATCATGTACAGGGATAAATGAGGCTGTAAGATTTTGCCAGTATCACAAATGACACTGTGACCCGAGGCCAACATCTTTATTTGCTTCTCCAGTGATTCACTTCAGCAGATATTAACCAATTTTATAATCCATGAAAGGCAAAATTAAAGGACACCATCCATAAAACAGAATAATTCCTATCAGCAACAAAGTGATGTCTGTATTATCTTATAAATTATATGGCCATACAGTGTGGTAATGTAATGAAGTAAAGATGGTAATAATCAAATGCCTAGGGCAAATGCTAATATGCATTTAATCACACAGCATGAAGCCATTTGTCACTACAGTTGAATGCATGTGTACATAAAATACATGAGTCACGTCCTTATTGTTATAGTATAACAGCAGCAATTTCACACTATCATTTTACCACAATAACAACTGCAGGCTTGGATATTAACTAAGGCATTCAGATGCCCCAAGTGCAACTGAGAGCAATATCTTAAAAAAAAAAACTATTTGGAAATACGGTCCCCCTGCTATTTCACTTCACACATTCCAATATTGCATGTGTGCAGAATTCCATAATATTTCTCTACAAAACCCCCCTCAGGTAAATCGTTGCAACACCCCAAGTTTCTTTTTAGAAACGGGGTAATTTATGGCATTTCAGCATAGGCTGGATCAATTTTTAAGCACGTATCAACCTTGGTAATTAATCATTGATTTTTGTTTGTTTGTTTATCAGTACTTACATACACACAAGAAGGAGGCAAAACATCTGCCCTAAAATAATCCAAGGTGTTTGCAAACGCTGCCTCCAGAAAAATTACACTGAAGCAGAAGGATTAAATCTGTGCTTGGTGAAGCTCAGGAATGAAATTATTATTGGACAAACTTTACCTGCTTAAGTTCAGTAACTTCTGATCAAAGGGATGGCCGTAAAAATATGTCTGTCCCCACAAGATGCAGAATGGGGAATATGAATGAACTCTATCACCTCTGTGTTTCGGGTGCAGCCCACTAAAACTGACTTCTTACCTGCAAGAAACATTTCTACAACTGTTTGGGGAAAAAAGGACAAAAGTACTGCAGTACAACTGTACAAAACCGCAATAAATTCATCCAGGTACACAGGGCACCTAATACACCCACAGACAGTTGTGTCCACTCAAGAGCTGGAATTTAAATCTAAATATGATGAGTTACTGTATTTTCAAGATGTTAGTCCTGCTGTGGAACCATCAAGTCAGATTGCAGTTCAACAATCATGCTTCAGATTTTTGTCATGTTAAACTGAAGAGCATAGAACACTGTTTGCTTTTAAATAAAATTATTTTGAAAAATATTTACACACAGAAATGGCATAGTATGACTGAGTTTTATACGAGATGACATAAGTATTATAAATAAATAATCACCCTACTCAGGAGAAAGTTACCTTTATGACCATTAAAGACCAAAATACATTTAGAGGCACTGTGTGGTTCATAAAAACACAAGACAATAAGTCTCACACACATTTACACTTTCCAAGGAAATGTCTTTTTTATACTGTTCAAACGTCTTCCTTTATTGCAGAGAACTAAAACCAGATTTTACTACAACCCACTGTTATCTTCAAAAAAATAAAGACCAGATAAATCCTTAAGTTCAATTACAATTTTCTGAAGTTATAGCTTACACAATAAGTTTAGGGATCAGAAAACAAGCAGCCAGTTGTACCAAAGGCGTCTAAAAGCCCAGACTCCAGGATTCTGCCAGGAAAAGCTCACCAGAAAAAAAAAACGTGAAAGCAAAAGCAGGTGTTCATCCTTTTCCAGATTCCACACATCATGTCTGTCTCACACCTTGGCTGCAAAAGCCAGGTGGGATTCCTGGTAAGATTCCTGGGTAAGAAGATCTCCTGGTACACAGTGCCCTAAAATGTGGACTATAAGACAACTTGGTACGTTGCCCATGTAAAGGCAACTGCAGAAAAGAAATCCAGAATAAGCTACATTTTTTAAGAACCATTGACTTGCTAAGAACCCAAATGTAAAGGTGGCCTAACACCTATTTTGCCCATCTTAAATTTCTTGGGATCACTTTGAATAAAAAAAAAATGATTTTTGAAGACAGCACTCTCCCTATCACAATTGGCTTTTTTTTATATATACATACTTCAGATTCAGACATTCTTCTGCAGGTAGGCTTATTTATTTTCAAACTTTTACAGGCTGAAAAATATTGTATGCAGTTATGTTCAATTGTGCCTTAATTCATTTTTCAATTTAGGGATTTATAGATAAATGTTATTTTTCATTTTCTCCTACATCCTCCAACAAGAGTTATACCGTCTTTTTTTAGAAAAACAGCTATTTGTGTACACCAGACATCACCCAAACTCAACCAACACAGTGAATTTTCCCACCCAGAATCCATCTGTACAGGTCCAGAAGCGCAACTCTTGAATCAAATTTCAAAAAATCCCAAATTTTTCAGTTTTCAAAAATGTACTGTCAACCTCATAAGACAATTTCTTTCTAAAAGCTAAGATCAATACACAAATATATTGGTTTTCATTTACAAACAATTATGTTCTCCTTCAAAACAGAATATCGAGATGGAGACTTTTAAAGACTCAAAACCATAAGACAATAAAAATCTGATATTTGTATTTCTGTAGTGGTGATATTAAATCAAAAATCATTTGGAGGAGGGATGAGGCAGGCTCGTGGTTTTTGAATGCAGAAAATTATATTACTTATTGAAATTTCACAGCAAATCAAGTAGTACTGCCAATGCAAAGTACTAATTTTAAAGGACAGCCTTATACTAATTTTCATTCTAAATAAATATTGATTTTTACTAAAGTTCCATGGGATTTCCTCTTATTCATACATTACATAAGCACACATAATGAAAGAATAGCTGTCCTAGGTTGGGTAGAAGGTCCTTCTACCTCTCTATTCATCTAAAACAAACAAAAACCCAGTTATAATTCTCTTCTACTGAATTAAAGTGAACAGGAATTCTTCTCCTTGACCTTGCAACTACAGGATTTTTAAATGAGCCAAGAGCACAGATTTGGATCGTGTGCTGCTTTTTATACTGTGGGAATCAAGTACAACATTACCATTGGTGTGCAATTTGGACAATACACCTTTGAACACTGGTGGAACCAGATTGGTTCTTCCAGGCTTTTCTGGAGAACATTCCCCATCCCTTTACTAATGGATTAATCATCATCATCATCACACTTTGCTGTGCCTACTCTCTCAGTAAGTGGCCCTATCTACCCTTTTTTGTGCTCTTTCCCGAAGTTTGAGGTTACACTTTTTTTTAGCTTACCTTAGCAACACAGGGCAGAATTGTCTAGAGGACTCGTGGCAGGAATTCTGAAACAGGGCATAAAACATAAAGCCTGTTACCAAAGAAAGCAAAGACGTTGTTCTTTGCCACTCTAACAGTTGAATACTTAAAATAACAGACTTATTCCTGACAGTACATATCCTACACTTCAGCTCATCTTAGCCAAGGAAGAGATTTGTGAATGTGCTTCTTATTTTCCAAAGACAGAACAATCACAGTCACATCAAACTGCCCTTATCTATGGAACCAGCAGTTTCTGGTCTAAATTCAATGGCATTTGTTTAACTTCTCGATAAGTGTAGAGATTTTAATTGTGGAAGCTCTGCACCTTTTCTACAGTTACCTTTGTCAAAGCCTGGGAAAGTATCATGTCCTGTCCATGTGGAAACCAATGTTACCTCCACGAGACAGCACAAGAACTCTCCTCAAAAACGTTTAGGATCTTTGCTGACAAAACCATCATTAGTCACCAGAAATCTGAAACAACCTGGTTGGTGACATATCACCTTCCAAAGTTTCAGAGTTTTATTAAACTGTGGGAAAAGTATTGGATAAAGAACTCTCCACTGTTAGAACCCCCAGGTTTTCTTTGTCAAGAAGCAATTGGTCTCGTTTGGTTGTTTACTTCTACTAGTTTGCCTGGAAGGTTTTAGTTGCGTTTTTTCCTCTTTTTTTCCCTCTTTTTTTTCCTCCACATTTCCAAATCTGTTTCAACACGTTAATGAACTGTTAAGGAGTGCAGGTAAGTTAATTATTATAAAATACAGTGATATGGTTAGCATCTTCATCTGTCTTTCATACCCAGTTAAATAAACCAGCTAAGCTTGTTATATGGACACTCATCATATGATGCCAAAAAAACAACAACAAAAAAAAGAACAAAAAAGAAGGAAAGCTGAGAAGACCAAACTGATGACCCAGAAAGCATATGGGAAAGTCCCCTTGGGAGTCTTTTTTATTCAATCAGCAATACTTCATTTTGATGTGATAGTAAGTGTTTCAAGCAATTATTGCAGTGCTCCAATTCAGCTTTTTAGATCATAACCCAGTAAAGATTACTCCCATCAAATACAGAGGTCTAGGAAACATAACTTGAAAAGGCATGTTTTGTCAGTTCTTCCAGAGTCTGTATTAGCTACCTGTTGGATTCTGGATGAAATTCAGGAGATTGGAGCTGCTTCTTCAAGTACTACGTTGCTTGGAATCTGAATTTTTCCTACTACTAAATAAGAGGTTGCCTTCAGTAATTTGAATTCTTTTGATGAAAATACATAACCTTTCACAAGCTAGCCAGCCCAAGCATGTCCCAAAAATGGGTGATATAAAATTTTCATGTCATGTTAGTTGGTTAGTAGGGCTAACACATAAACACATTATCAAGATCCTTACTTTCTGTAATCAAAAATAACTACAAAATATATTGTGTCTTTTATAGGGCAATACTATGGTAAGACCACAGATAATAACTGAAGGTGTTTTCAACCACAAGTAAAAATACTATTAAGAAACTAGGAAAAAAAAGATAACTCATTTCAGCTCAAATTAAAAGAGGAAACTATATGAGCTGCACTCTAATTAAGACTGCAAAATTGTTCTCTACTTATAACATGTTTGTATGTGGGATTAAATTCTCCTTCTCCCTAACCTTTCAATCCTAATATTTTTCAATATTTAATCAGCATCCCGTTAGCTATTAGCATAGAGGCATTAGCTGCTGAAGGTATTAACAGAACATAGATTTACCCAAATTTTACTGGCACAGAAAAAGCCAGAGGAGTTTTAGCGAGACGAAAAGCCGTTTATGCCCGTTTTAAACACCATACTGCCACCTAGTCGACAACCTACCGAACTGTGCCGTCCTCCATGCCCCGTAATCGCAGCTAAAGCCATGGAACAGAAATCGAAGCGTTTCCCAAACGCACGTCTGTGCAAGGACTAAGGTTTTAGAAGCAATGAGAGCCCCAATTAATCTCCCCGTCCAGCAGCAGCACTCTGCCAGCACAAAGCAAGCAGAACTGCAGCTTTCAGAGCTCATTCACATGTGATCCACTGCAAAAAATATGGATTTATTCAGGTAGCATTCCCATCTGGCAGCTGCTACTTGCTCGTGGTTGTAGTCGAGAAACATCTACACCAAGTGTAGAACAAGGAAATAAATAGACACGGTACCATCAATTAAGGGATCAGTCCCAAAAAATATGATATGAACGTTCAAAATATTCTCGCTGAGGAATGAAGAAAACCATCCCCATAGACGAGAAATATAAAGACCTGTGAAATTTAGTTTTATCAGTTCAGGGAGGCTGACTGCATCACTCAGAACCACACTGAGCTGTGGAGGGTTTCTTACATGACAGTCTCATTAAGGGGAATAAATTGCTCTCTTGCCTAAATCTAATCCAAAAGATTAGGGACACAGATGCAGGAGGAGCAAACAATCTCCTGTGTCAGCAAGTTCACTCACTGCTGATATGGAACCTCTTTCCAACATTTTGGAAGTATCCATGTTATATCCAGAAAAAAAATTATTTCCCTGAAGGCTGGTTTGTTTCTTTTTTTTTCTTCCCTCTTCCTTTTAAAGGTGTCTGACAAGAAGTACCACTTTTTCCTCTACAAACCATTCCTCAACTAATTAAATATTTTGGTATCCCTATGGCAAAGATTCAAAAGGAACTCAATTATTATCTCAGTGGGGCATAACATATGAAAATCGTTTATTTGCTGCCTGAGCATCATAGATAATGTTAATACTAGTGACCAAAGAAAATCCTCTCTCATCATAGGAACGACTTCCTAATTCTATATGTGTGCATCTAGCTCTCGTTTAGAGTAAGGACATCTCTGCAGCACCGGGTTTGGAACAGCTCCCACAGGAGATCAGGAACGGCAGGAGAAGGCAAGGAACAGCCTTGTAACCAGAACACAAAGTTTTATATCTCCTGCTCACGCCACAGCGCCCCCAAAACTCCAGAACAACAGAGACTGCAAGAAAGCGGGCAGGGGTTCTCCTCCCTCTTTGGGTACCCAACCTAATATATCAGTGGGTACAGCACTTTTGCAGGACAGAATGCATGAGCTTCCTGTAAAGAGCATTAGAAGACCACAGTGATAAAAAATTGAATTCAAAAGACATAGGAAACCAAAAAACAGCAACACTTTAAAGATGACACAAACACACTGAACACGTACTTTTAGAGCTTTTTTTCCTGTTAGCCTTTACCATGAACATGAGGCACACAACTGAGATCTTGCTCAAAATACTCAATAAATGTGGATGTTTTACATATTTGTAGGAATTCCTGAGTGAATGGCAAATTTAAACTTTCCTACTGAGAAAAATTTTGCAGCTCGAAGCACTCTACTGTTGGCTACACGCTATTTTTTCAGCTAAAAAAATACATTACCATGGTTATGGCAACTGGCACTGGGGCATCCAAGGAAACTAAACCAGAAAGGGCACCAGGGTTTCAAACCAGGGCTGGAACATGGGGGAAACCAGACACAAGCAATGAATGGAATGAGCATCAAGTGAACTGTGTGAGGATACACAGGCAAGGAGAGGTTCATAGGGAAAGCAGGAGAAACTTTCCCGTACTTTCTGGTCCATCTGGATTCAGAACAGCCTTGGAAGAGGTGCTGACAGAGATGTTAATGCAGTTAACGCACTAATGGAGTTTTCTCACAGACCTGTGGCAGGACAAAACATTTCATATGCCACGAATCAAGCAGCCTGACTAGATCAAATAAGTATTTCCAGACTTTGGAATGGGCACTGCATAAACAATCCATACGAAAAACAAGAGACTAAGCCCTACATATTAAAAATAAGGAAAGAGACACCGCTCTCTCCAGGACAGGCCCAAGAGCGTGGCGGCTTCCTGTGCTCAGCTGGAAAACCACCTTTTTAAAAAAATCCAAACCACACACACACACACACCTTGTTTCGCCCAATTTCACCGGAGTAGAGGTTCCAGCAGGAACAGCACCGACACCTTACCCAGCTCTGCAGGGCAGCAGCTGCGGCTCCAGGGCAGAAACGGGGCCGCGCCCCCTTAGGGAGCCGGCGGAGCACGGGCAGAGACAGCAACACGCCCGTAACGCAGCTAATTTCACTTTGCTCCCACCACACAAAACCAGAACACTTCACGCTTTCCCCTCCGAAGTGTAAATCTCCCTGGAAACCAGACGTATTTCCAAGCACCCGCCCCCTTCCCAGGCCCGACCGCGGCCGCCCTCAAGCCCAAGGCGCCCTGAGGGAGCGCAAGGAGGTGGGACAGCGACAGGGCGGGAAGGCTCGGGGAGGACACCGTGAGGGCAGAAAGGCTTTGGGGCTGGCACCATGAGGGCAGAAAGGCTTGGGACAGGCACAGTGAGGGCAGAAAGGCTTGGGACAGGCACAGTGAGGGCAGAAAGGCTTGGGACAGGCACAGTGAGGGCAGAAAGGCTTGGGACAGGCACAGTGAGGGCAGAAGGGCTTTGGGCTGTCACCATGAGGGTGGAAAGGCTTTGGGGCAGACGCCGTGAGAGGAGAAGGGCTTGGGGCCGACACCCTCAGGGCAGAAGGGCTCTGTGCTGGGCACGCTCATAATGTAGCAAGGCACAGAAATACAGTTAATATACCCCAAATCCTTTGCTCTCTGCTGACACCATGTAAATTCATTTTAAAGTGAAAGGAACCCAGAAGACAGTCTGGGTTTTGAGACATACCAGATACCGTTTGTCCTCATCCCATATGTAGTTCTTTGTGTATGAGTATTTTACTACAAGCTTTGTACTATTTTTCCCCGGAGATTTGATTGTATTGTTTTGGCTTTTTTTTCTTTTTTTCTTTTTGCACAAAAAAATTAGATTTCTCTATTTCATTTTAAACCGTAACAATATTATTTGGTTTTTATGGCTAGTTAAAGCACACATGACACTAAGGAGAAGGAATATTCCCAAGAAGGCTTATTCCAGTAATGCCAGAAAGCTGCAGTGACACTGACCCTCCGGAACGCTCCATGTGCCGATGTAACACTGGATGTCCTTTTCAATACATGGTCAAGTTAATCCTCATGAGTCAGAGTCCCAGGGTTTGTCTATCACAAATGGACTTTACAGATGTATGACAACAAAAATCCTCAGCTAACACACACAAGGCTTCAGCTGGTGGAGCAGCTGAGCAGTGGGTTGGTTGAGAATGTTTTTTCCCCATAGGTCATGGCTTTTTTGAGTATTACTGGATGACTACTGGAAATACACAACTGGAATATATTATCTGTTCAGGAAGATCTGCCAGGGAATCTTCACTTTTCAATGGAATTGATCTTTTATTTACACAAATACTTAGTTGGACTGAAGAATCTAATCAACCCTCCTCTCTCACTGACTTCAAGATAAATAGAACCAAATAACACAAGCATAACACATTAAATACAACTGAATCATTTAAAGATCAGACAGTATAAAATGGTTTGTCCAACTCTGCTTTGCAATATTCATACAAAATGCTAAGAGAATTAAAACTGGAAATACTATATCCAGCACTATATATGAAGTACCACAGCATTTTAAAGTTTCATTAAGAACAGTTTCAAAATTGTACGCTGTTAGTTCTTACCTATGTGGCAACCACAGTGTCATCTTGTGAATTTATCAACTAAGCAGTTCTCTGCCAAACTTAACATTCATCTTTATAATTGTCTTCATGTCATTAATTAATCAATGCTGAACTGCTGCATGGAAGAAGACCTAGATATAAGAGGAATAAAGGGGATACAAAGTCATACAAGTCAGGCAAAGTATAATAGGAGTACAATGTGCTATAATGAAAAGGTATGCAGGAACTTTTTTATCAAGGGTTTACATTTAACGTGGAATGCAAGCTGAAGTCATCCAATAACTGGCTATTAGGATTCATTACTTTTGCTTGATCAAACATGAAAGAGGCAAAAATAAATGGGATGAAGAACATGAGAAATAAATGGGTTTCCAGTAACTATTTCATTTCCCGGACAATAGGGAATAAAACTAACTTGCAGAAATGTATGTCCTATCTTCAAAGAAAACAAATTTGAAGATACTCTCTATGCTGAAATTCAAATATAAATGTACAAAAAAGTTACTTGTTTTTAACTCAAGATTGTTTGCATTTCACCTGGATTACTGCCTTCAACAACAGCATGAACTTCCACAAAAGCATCATTTCTGCATCTTGCATGCTGTGTTTTCAAGAAAGTTGATAGCAAATAGTTATGTATACTTAGTGTTACAAATAAATCACATTTTATGGAAAAATAACATAGTCACTGTGGAATGAGTTGCCTTTTCCCCCTCCGAAATCCAATGATTTACTTGGCAAATCCAAAGATATTTCTTTGAAACAATGATACCTGGAAATGTAATATTTTCCGAAGTGCAAGTCAGAAAGCATTCTTCTGCAGAAGTTTGGAAATGGGTAATCTAGATCTGCTAGACGGGGACATAATTTGGACTGTCACCAGTAACATGAGACTTATTCCTGCCAAGGCCACAGCTGGAAGCTGTGTAAGGAACAGAGCAGAGGGTTGACCTTCCTACTGGAGTTTATAGACAGTGCTACAAATGAAAACACATCAGCACATATTGGCCAGGGCTGCTGCTGGAAATCACGATGTTTGTGATTCAGCACAGCACTCCAGTCTTCCAAATACATTTGGCAGTCTCAGTGGATTGACATACTAAGTGAACCTTTATCACTGCTCTGATGGTTTTCACCAGGAATTCCAAATGTTAATCGTGCAAAGGTATACTTAAAAAAAGAAAAAATCCCTTTCTGAAGGAAAAACAAGTTAATTTTAAAATATTCAGTGTCATCTCAAATCTGCATCCATCTACTGTAAATACTTGCTTTAGATCATGTGCCCATGTTTTAAGCACAATGTGTACTTGATAAGGAAATATGCCAATCACACGCTATGTTTCAATAAATGCCTTTTCTTTCTCAGCAGATGCTATTGCTAGATTTAACCCAAATTCAGTTAAGTTATACTTAAAACTGACAGTATCATTGTTAACGTGAGATATTTCATAAAACAGTAATGTGACATTCATTTAGCAATTTTGGAATCCATCAAGTCATATTTTTAGAAAGTGATATTTGCAGTTATATCCATTTGTGTTGCACTGGTTAATTTGTTTTAAAGTTCCTTATGTACAAACTTATCCCTCTGAGGTAATTTGAACATAGTACACTAAAGGAAAATATTAACTCTGTGTTTTCACTTCAGGTTGTTTTAAAATTAGAGCATGGAACCACAAATTCTTACAGAAAATGCAGTTGGTGTATACAATTGGTCAAATGCTGAAAGATGCCCAAGAGAGAAAATGGGAACAGTTCTCCTATTTACAAAAGTTTTGTGTTTACAAAACTTTATTGTCCCATTCATAACAATTTTTCTGTAACTCCTTAACACGATCAGACCAATGCATCTGGAAGGAAAATTCCATTCCAGATGGACTGCAGCAAGAGAACTGTTCTCCAGACTTTCACCTTTTTGTGTGTCAAGCTCTCAGAACCACAACAGAACATTTGTCCCCAAACACTTTTGATTTGTTCTTCCACGTTATTAACTACTGCATTTAGACCTCTGCTTCTTAATTCAGCATCAGCCTTTTTGTGATGGTTTATAACTAAGTAAGATAAGTTTACAGGAAATAAATCTATAGAAGAAAATATCAGAACACGTAGAGACTGAAATACTGTGAACAAGATCTACCAGAGACGTTAGAAGAACTAATCACTGGGATTAATTTTTTGAAAATAGTTAATACAGCTGCATACAAACATCAAAACAATAACAGAGCAAAACCAGGAATACAGTCCTGAAAGGCATGGTGCTCTTCTCATAGAGCACTCCTGTTGGAATCAATGGTTCTTACAGATGACAAGGTTAACTGCTGAGACATAATGTTGCACATGTTATGGAGGGAAAATTAAAGAAAATATTCCCTTAATGGAGAGAATAAATACTTATCTTTGAAGAAGAAAGTAAGATTCAAAAAGCCTTGCCTTCCTTTGGTTTGGCACACAGGGAAGGAATTGTTTGCTGAGAATTTACCAGAGGGGGTTGACTTTAGCCTCTCTTCTCATTTTGCCTCTGCAGAACAGACTGTGTCTGCAGGTACCACAATTACTCCCCTGCACTATCCCCCCACATTCACGACAGCCCAAATGAATAAAACTCATGTATTACAGCCTAGGCACACCTTTGTCTGGTGCAGTGGACCTTTGTGTTGTTATTTTCCCTTTTCTGTACGTCTGTAGCTCTTCCTACGCTGTTTTGGTTACTTTTGCTCAAACCGGGGAGTGGGAAAAAGGGAAAAAAAGGAGGGAAACTAATTTCTTTCCATCATCTCTCCATACCAAAAAATTGCCTATGGACTCCTATCTTTGGTTTTCAAATCCTTGTTGTTTCTACAGTCTCAAGTCTTTCCAAAAAGCTTTATGTGTTAGATGATCTTAGAGCAGCTGTATTTTCATTGCTCCTTGCTCTGGACATCTCCCCATTCTCTGAATTATGCCACATTCACACCAACCGACCAACCAACCAACCAGCGATGGGTAATAAAGCTCCATTGTTCTGGCTGTTGCAGCAGCAATTCTGATCAAGAAATCAATTAAATGTATACTTACCCTGTAGCTTTTTGCCATTCACAAGTTGTGCACACAATGAACTGCTTCACTGAACACTCACCATCAAAAAAAGATTAACCCTCAAAAATGTCTGCTCCAAGTGACAAGTTCCAAAACAAGTTGTTTTTTTTTTAGTGTAAAGCGCCTCCTTAAAGGAACATGAACATAATCTCATAGTTTTCTTACATTAAGGACATAAACTGCACTCACGCTGTCAGTTGGTGCCTCTCTTGTGCAGGGAGTGTCATTTAATAAACAAATAAATAAAGCTGCTTATGTGTGTAAAATACAGTCTGTCTTAGGAACATAATTTCTAGTACTGTAATTCTGAACATCTCTCAAATACTCATGTCCAATACCTTAAAATAACATGTTGACCTATTATTCAATAATAAAACTCTGCTCAAACATATTTCTAGCCTTAAAAAATGGCATCAGATTAAAATAAAATTAAATAAAGGTAAGAAACTATATTTCTTCTGTAATTAGCTCAAATAAAGAGGATGACTTTTTATCATATAAAACCCCACAAAGGTATATAAAGTCAGTCACAGTTCTTCTTTAACATTTTTCTAGCATTTTTAAAAAAATGGGTATGGGGTGTTTATATTATTATTAGTAGTAATAGTATTAAATTTATTAACTTTTTTGTTAAAAAAAACCCCCAAAACTAACAAGTACCATAAAATTCAGCCAGTGCTTTGGTTGGAAACATCATCGGACCTCAAATTAGCCCAGACTGAAATCTGAAAGACTTAAAAAGACTGACGTCTCCTTCAGTTTTGTTTTCCATAATTGTGTTGCACAAAATAAGCTGGTGTAAGAGGCTGGAGGGAGGGGAAGAATCAGAGGCTCTTTGGCTGACTGGATGCGTTACATTAATTTCTTAATATGTGAAGGAGTGGATTACCCCTCTAACAGCAATGGGAAATTAGTTTCTTTATTTCTTCATTAAGACTGTGGGAGGGAAATTAATTTTCTACTCTGGTTTTCAAAATTAATTGAATATATCTTTATTAAAGTGATAAATATATACACATACTTTTTGGTTGAAAGAATTCTCTAAATTAATCCTAAACAGACATTTTCAAAGCAGTTTGGTAGTAGTACGTGCTTACTTTTTTGTTGTTTCATATTGTGACGTTATCAAAAAAATGCAAAAAAGTGATCATATAAACCCAATGTAATAAAGCTGTCTGTAGAAAAAAGTATCTGAAAACAGTTTTATAGAGTAATTTTTGTACCATTAAATAGCATATTGTTTAGCCTTCCTTTCTTCCTACTCAGTATTATTTTAGTACCTCTGTTATTGCAGCTTGCATTGTGTACCTAAGTGTCTGTGCTTTCATACATATGCATCAAAAATGTCTTTTGGTTGCTCTAACAAGAAGCCATAGCTTTAAAAACCATCATGGACTTAGCTTGAAGAATGAAGTAAAGCACCTTGAGGTGTCATCATGTGTATATTGGTACTTAGAGGAATTTACAAAGCATCCAAAAGCATTCCTATGCCTTCACAGTTTTTATATTTGTTTTTGCTGTAAATCTGTTTCATATGGGGCACTTCCACCACTGCATCACAGTATTCTTTTATTTTTATTCTTTAATACTCTTCTATGCAAAGTCAACAAACTCAAAGCGAGCTTATGCCAGTAGGATTTTTTAATTCAGGCTTCTCTTGCATAAATAGTATAATCATTTTATGTAACATCTTTCTTATCTAAAAAAAAAAAATAAGTCATAAGCCTTTTCCTAGAGAACTTGGACACTTCAGCATTGGAAGAAAAAAACTACTGATGGCAATAATGTTTCCACCACAGTGGAATCCAAGAGCTTATAACACAAGGAAAGTCAGATTTGTCAGTCCTTTAGAACCAGCAAGTCCTTCGTGCACTTTTGGCCTAGAGGCTCAAAGGAGTAAGAAAATTCATAACAGAATCATAACAGAATCCTACAGCTTAAATTTCCTTGTGCTTTCATTCCATTTCAAGTGCACTAAACAGGGAACAAAATTTCTCATGCCTTGTTCAATGACAATTAGAAGTCCATGCTATCTCATGGTGCCTCTGCCTCCCTGCACAAATCAGTAAACATGGCCCAAGTTGTATCAATAGAGACACAGGTTATTATAATTTCATCTTTTTTTTTTATTTTTAAACTCAACTGGCCAACTTTTCGACTTCTAGCATCTTTCACATGAGCTACTGTGTTATTCTTCTCTTAAAGAAAATCTAATAAATAAATCAGAAGACATTTATTTCTGAAATTGCACTGCAGCTACTACAAACCCAACCTAATTGTAAGAGAATAAAAAGCTGGAAAACAGCAAGTAGTTAAACAATGAGGGGAAATTACAGCTGATCTCCCTAGTAGAAGTTAATAGGAAGTTCTTGTTTGTTTTACTAAACAAACATCTTAATTGTAGACACAGAGAACAGAGGAATTAAATATACAAGATTTATGTTGAACAAAAGCAAGACTGTCTCAGAAGCATTCACACACCATGATTCAACCTACTTGCTTAATCCCTTCCACTGACATAGCTCTGCTCTTTCAAAACTGCTGACAATGAAGTTGCAAAATGCAGCTGAGAGGAAGAGGCAGAACAAGTTCTTCACTTGCTTATGTAATTTATTGCATGATTAGTAACTTGTTAAGAAAAAAAAAATCTGAGTCCACACAGCATCATCGTGAATATGTTAGCAATAATTTACAAAGACAAAATAAAACGCATTCTTTGCCAAGGAAAGAATTTAACATTAATGCATAGAGATGTAAAAGCAAACTTCAACTCTAACTCTCTTTTAGGGGGACAGAAAGAAGCAGAACAAAAGGAAGTCTGTATAAAAATTAAGTAGCAGACAAGATCTCAACTACCTCAAGAAATGAGGTAATGGTGAAATAATCAAAGAAAGCATCACCAAAGCCCCTCTTCCTTAGAGAAGAAAAATCTATGATCCACACCATAATTAAAATGGTTACTTTTGTTGGGGAAGCCCTTTCCAATGGTTTAGCATTTACCAAAATTGGAAGTCTGATATAGCCTTTTACCAATATTGCTGTTTTAATTGCTTAATCCATTCATGGAGGAGAATGTTGAAGGCCCTGCAATCCTCCATGTCACAAAAACT